CTCCAAATATAGACAACATCCAAAATCAGGTCAAAGTGATTCGACTTGAACAAACCAGCCTTGTAATGACACATCTGCTGCAGAGTGTCTGTAGCTGAGAGTTGTTTTTTTACCCATAACAATAAAAAATGTTTCAAGAAGCACAGTACATTTAGGGAAGGTGGAAACATTTTCAAGCACTCATGGGCTTCTAAAAGCACATTATATGTCTGACAAGCAAAAAGAAAGGTACAAAAGATTTAAAAAAGAAAGAAACAAGAAGGCTGGTGGATTCTGACAAAAAAAGGAAGACTCAAATGCAGACAAAACACACCAGGCAAGCAGGTATAATGAAGGGAAATTTACTGAAAGCTTAACACAATATAGGCTTAGAGGTAGGGAAAATGATTGCAGTCCGAACAGTCAAACACACCCTGGAGGGGCTCGACAAGTAAGCAGGCCAAAAAAACGAGGAACAGGTAACAGGGAAAACCAGGAATACATCAGGTTCAGGTGGGTAGAAAGCAAAAACACATGAGTGGAAATGGACTGGTTATATACTGTTGGGCTGATGAGGGAAAGTGGAAACAGGTTAGCAGGTAAATGAGAGAGTCAAGTGACTGGGACTGGTGGTAAAGTCTGAGGGCATCTGGTGGAAGGATGGAGAATGGCAAGTCCAGAGAGTTTGCAGGGAATGCATGGGCCTGGGTGAGGTAAAAGCGCCTGGAGACAGTGAGAAAATAAAAATAACTGCGGCAGACATTGTGACAGGCATTCGTGAAAACCTTCTTTCCCGGTGCTGTGACAAGTGCTAAAGGCAAAACACAGACAATCAGCATCAAAACACAATGTTTCCTTTCTTAAATTTCAGCTTGCCAAACCGGCGAAGCAAACCAAGACGGTGAAATGTCTCCCGTTGGGTAACACCGTCAAAGAACCAGCAGCTGGCAGCAGCTGTCTGGTGGCTGGATGGGGGAAAACAAACAACGTTGCCAAGAAAAATTCAGATGTCCTGATGTCTGCCAACGTGACTGTGATCGACAGAGTGAAGTGCAACTCTCCTGAATATTACAATTTTGACCCTGTTATCACCAAAGGCATGATATGTGCTGGTTCAGATGGAAAAAAACAAGTTGACACCTGTAAGGTGAGTACACTTTAAATTTTTGTGTCAAGGAAGAAGCCACCTTAACTGCTATGTGTGTCTAAAAATGACATGTTGCGTGTTTGTACTCTCTCCAGGGGGATTCAGGAGGACCACTGTTATGCAACGGAGCACTCGTCGGTGTCACTTCTTTTGGAAAGGGGTGTGGCCAGATTAAAAAGCCCGGAGTGTACTCGTTTCTCTCAGAGAGTCAACTCAACTGGATCAAAAAGACGATGAAGAAGTCTGAAATGGAATGAGACTTTCTTGTTCATTACTCTGTATAAAGCTTGTTTACCTTTGTACTTTTTGCTACGTTCACTTTATCTTAAGTAGATACATCGTATAGAAAAAGGGAATTGCATCATAGAAATCTTTTTAAAGTGAAAGTGACATTTTTTAAAGCTGTACATCCGCAGGCCAGTCCCCAGAGGATCATGTTGGCAATGTACGTTTCTGTAAACCACAAATACGTTAACCTTGTGATCGTGAGATTGAGGAGATGGTGGATGGTGTGTTTTAGACGAGACACCTGCTAAGCTGCAGACCACTGTTCGAGACCAACAAACAGCGAAACCATGTGTGGTTTAGCAAGTCATTGCTGTTTTTCCAGCTGCTTTTTAGGCACCAAATGTGGGTGTTGTTTAAGGATCTGTCACTGTGTTTCAAGCACCTTTTTTTTCACCAAGACCTCGCTGCTTTTCCTGCTGGGATAGTGTCAGAAAAAGCGGTTGTTTTCCGTAGAGACATTGCTGCTTTTCTAGATGAGATTGTGCCCCCAAACATGATCTTTTCCAGCCACAACCAAGACTTTTTGTGGCCTAACCCTAACCACACACTAACCTCAGCACTGTTGAAACGTAAAATTTGAGCGTATCCACTATTTAATAACATGTTAATTTAACGTATCAGTGGTTTGCAGACTCATTCAATACCAGCATTTTTTCTGTCTTTTTCTGGGATGACACCAAAGAGCTAAGATGAAAGCAAAGAATCAAACAAACTGCTTCACCACTTCCTTCATCAAACGCTTTAACTGACATTGAGGCTTCAGCTTTGTGGAAAGATTTTATGCTAAAGGTTCATTCTTGGGCACATTATTCCTCATTATTGATTCATTGTATTACTGCATGAAACCTTCAAATAAATGACATTTTCTACTATCTTTAAAGCAGATACATATTTCTATCTTTTTGTATGACTCTGTCTCTCATTGCATTTTCATGACAGTAGCTACAGTACAGTAATTTCACACCTTCATGGTATCACAGATTTGTGTTTCAGTTCTCTGGTTTCAAGTCATGTGAGAGCAGCGTCCAAATTAAAAACCTTTGATGTCTCAGTAAACATGACAGAGCGTTTTCTTTTTTTTGTCTTTCTCCTCCATAGGTCATGTGACTGTAGATGAAGCTAAAATGCGTCATGCATGAGACAATTACAGTAATTTCAATGCAGAGAACATTATGTTCTGAATCATAAGGTGGAAAAACAAAGATCTTGCTGATGGTGTACTTGCTCAGACCACAAGACACAAATTCACACGTCGTCTTTAAAGACCCCAGACAGGAAACGTGCAACATGTCACACAAGTGTTGCAAAAGTGCCTTAAATCAAATACTGAAGGAGAGGTTAACAGTGAACACACATCAAACACATTCAAAGGAAATGTTTGCCGTTGTAATCAAATCTGGCACAGTAACATTTTTGGAGGGATTATTCACCAGCTTCTTTGTCTCTTATCTTAAATATTGCCGTTCTCTTTCATTACTGTGTGCTAAAGGAACCCATTTGTCTCTGCAATATTTGCTCCCCACTTTAAATTCTTGTGGGCATTTCCTGTCACACAGAATTCAGCTTAGACTGCCAGTTACATCTACTGTACACATGCAGTCCTCACGACCTGGGACTTACTGTAAATGTGGCACTGATGCTCAGTTTTCATGCTGCATCACTAGGTGGTGCTCTCTGCTGGAGTTGAGGAGCAGTAATACAGAGAGGAGATGTCACTCAGATGAGAGTCGAGATTATTTCACTTTACAGAACTGAAAATAACTTTAATTAAAAAACCTAGTTCTGATAATAACAGATGATAGAAAATGTCATGTTTATTGTTTGTTTGTTTTTTATCCTAAGTAGCTTTGTTACATGAATACCAGGTCTTCCTGAAATCCACATTTACAATAGTTCAGTAAAAATGGTACACTTTAGACAAAACTGACAACATAGCTGTACATCTGTGGTTTCCAACCCTTAGCTTTGGGATCCCTGAAGAGGTATAATGGCCCATTAATTCACAAGTTGGGAAAAGGAAGCAAAGGTTAGAGGAAAGTCTGAAAAGATCAGCACAAATTTGTGAAGCAGAAAGATTTTCTTTATAAATTTCCTATCCTCTTCATGATTTCAGAACCTTTCAGGTTTATCTTGTGGCCCTTTGTGGGAGTCCCACATGTTTAAAACATTGCTCTACATATATGATCATGATTTTGGAGAAAATTTAGGCTAGTAATCAGTCAAAAAACTAACTTAAAAAGGTCTTTATAATATTCAGAGCATATTTATGACTCAGAGGTTTTCTAAAAGTGGAGGTGGCTGAGTCAGTGGCTAGCTAGATTTTCTGTGAAGCGCTGGCCACTTGATTTCGGCGGCCATGTTAAATGATTGAGCAGTAACAGGAGGCCACTCCACTAATCTTTTTTTTTTTTTTTTTTAGCAAATGTTGTTTCCACCTCTATTAATGGTCTGAATATTGTGTACAGTTCCTTTAACCTCAAATAAAAGCAGGACTATAGCTCTTTCCATCATTATTACATCTCTTAAGATCAAAACCAGTCCTATTTTGTTTCATACACCATTTCTTGTCAAACATTAGGGATGTCCCGATCACATTTTTTTTGCATCTGATCCAATACAGAGTCCTTTATTTTGAAGCTGAGTTCGATACCGAGTCCGATCCGATACTTTGCAAAGCATTAAGAAAGAAAGAAAAAAAAAGAATGCATCCAAGTTGTCCCATAAGGTTTGTTTATCTTGGCTGTGATCTTTTTGGCTTTATCATGGTCCTGGGGAAATTTCTATTTCCTTTTCAAAGCCTCTGCCAATGTCGGTTGGTTCTGTGGCTTTTTACTTGCTGCCTCGAACTCGGCATGCAGTGCTGAATGTTTCCTTTGCAGATGGCATATCAAATTGGTTGTGTTGAAATGAACTGTCTTTTCCCCCTCGCAAACCGCTAGACTTGCACACTTTACAAATGGCTGTTGTGCTGCCTTCGCCTTCCAATGTATAAAAGTTTGATATTGCTGACATTTTGCAACCATTACTAGCTGCCCATCTGCCTGCCAAACGTAAACATATGAGATGAGCGTGTTAACGTTGGGCAGGCGGGGGAGTGACGTTCAGACAGATAACTTGTTGTTTTGGCATGGACAGCCAGCATGCTAATGGCAGCGAAAATGTCAGCAGTTTGGAAGTATTATACATTCAGGGTTCCTACGCAAGTATGGAAAAGTATGGAAATAAATTTGATCAATTTCCAGGTATTAAAAAGTATGGAAAATGAAAAATAAAGTATGGAAAAATATTTATGTTTCCAGACTATTACCACTGTTCTAAAATAGGCTACTGTTTTCTAAAATAGAAAATTATGTATTTCCAAAAATAATTTAATCAATCCAGATCGTGTTTTATCCCGGGCCAAGCACAGTTTGCGTGAGAGCAAACGTCTCAGAAAACATACCACCCCTTTTACCTGATTGACAAGTGGTATGACCAGTCCGCTGCCCCATGACCCTCCTCCAGCCCCCCAGGTATCAAGTTTCACTCCAACACTGCACCTTCCACAAGAAGACGAGTTTCACGTGGTTCACAATGGGTAGATGCAAGTTTTTGGATGGATGGCTTGACAATACCATATATAAATACTGGTCGGCCAAGGATTCCCAATTCACACACAGAGCTAGATGCAAGCTTTGTGTGAAATCGTTTGACATCGCCATCATGGGGGAGAAGGCGATTCTGAGCCACATGAAAGGAAAAAACACCGACCTCTCGTTACTGCATCGCTTGCACCCAGAGTCCCAACATTTTTGCCTCAGCCCAGACATTGAACTTACCTGAGTTTTTATTTGCATGCCATTATGGTACTTGGCTACAATCGCTTATAAAGAATAATTAAATATGATGTGAAATATGATACACTGATATATTTACTCAGATGTCGCATATTCTGAAAAAATGCCAAGAAGTCTGGAAATTAGGGTATGGAAAAGTATGGAATTTTGAAATTCCAAATGTGTAGGAACCCTGTACATTGGAAAGCAGAGGCAACAATGAACAACATAGATGAAAAACCTGGCCATTTTTGTTGTTTTGATTCCTCCGATCTTTTATTACAGATTCCGATTTTGTAAAAATAACGTGATCGGCGCCAATACCCGATCCGAGGATCATCGGGACATGATGAGAGGGACATCCCTCTCAAACATATTACTTACTTTCTGCCTATAGTCTGAGTGATAAATGAAGAAAAATACACATGTACTTGGAAGCCTACTTCTCCTCAGAACTGGGTGGGATTCATGCTTATTAGTCCCAATTACATGATATTAAATTAAAAAAGGAACAAAGAGTTTGTCATGCTCAGTGAGGCTTTGACATGCTAACACGTCTTACTGTAGCATGTAAGCAATGTGACATGTACTAAACAACACTAAAAACAATTTACAGCTGAGGTTGATGGCAATGTTATTAGTTCGGCTGATATTTGTAAAACCAAAAATTAAAAATTTTAACTAATAATGCCGCCAGAGGAAAGTTATCACTTTATCCTGAGGAGACCGTGACTCTTGATTCCAAATTTCCTGATAATTCACTCAAAATCACAAATGTGAGCCTCATGGACGCGCTACGGGAAAAATCAGGGGATCACCAAGGTCCGTAGGATTCATCCTCTGAGGACCATGAACAAGTGTTGAAGGTTTCACAGCAAACCATCCAATAGTTGTTGAGATATTTTAGTCTGGAACAAAGTAGTGAGCCGACTGACTGTGCCATCCATAAAGCACGCTGCTGCTGCGTGACAACCTGTGTTATCTTGCTGAAATAGAATTGTGTGTGTGTGTGTGTGTGTGTGTGTGTGTGTGTGTGTGGGACGTTACAACTAGAAAAAATACTTACCTTGGCAGCTAACCTGCTCTCTTGTGAGGGTGAAGAAAAAAATGTTACCACACCCAGGAAATTCCAGCATGTCCTTTATTTGAGCTCTAAGTGAATTATCACTGACCAACCATCTGCCCGTTTGTTTACTCTGTTTCCATGGTCACCAACAAAGGCTCACGGGCCCACCTCGGTGCCGCCGAAACTATCAAAGCTCACCACACCCTTATTAGCGGATTTTGTCGAATGGATGAATGCACGGCTGTTTATGAATGTTTTTGGTGTGTTTAAAAAGCCATTTCTGCCATGGAGATCACACACACACACACACACACACACACACACACACACACACACACACAGAGTAAATGTTTACCTGGGCTTGCATCACCTGTGTGTGTTGGATGAGCTGCCCACCTTGCCTCACCTTTCCCTCACTTACTCATGACGTGATGACACACACCCACCCACCCACACACACACACACACACACACACACACACACACACACACACACACATACTCATTGAGTGAAATCTTGTTTTATAAAGGTGACTGGAAACTGTTTTATCCTGGCAGGTGAGTCAGAGTCAAATTTTTTTAAGAGCTAGTCTGACATTTTGGAAAATACACTCAAAGTTTTGGCATAGCTGGTTAGCTTAGCTTAGCATAAAGACCGGGCACAGGGAGAAACATCTAACCTAGCTCTGATGGATGTTCACAAAATCCACCTACCAGCACCTCTTAAGGTCACTTATCAATCAATTATATCTCATACAAAAACTAAAGTGTAACTGGGCAATGCTTTTTGATTGGTTGCACATTATTATACCAAAATATGCAGCAATACAAAAGCAAAATCAGTGAAGAAGATGACAGCAAGTAAGTAAACATGGACGTGAACAATTCTACATTTTAATACTTTAAAATCATCTTCTCAAATGTTTTAAGAGGAAGGACATGCAATCAAATGTTTTTTTAAGAACTGTTTAACACACAATGTGTTTTGGTAAGTTACATACAATGAATTAACATATCCTCATAGAAAGGTTTGTATATGATATCCTATGAAAATGTACACACAACAGTTAGTATGATATCCTGAGAATTAGCACCCCACGAATGACGTGAATGTTCACTCATGTTATTAACATAAAGTTTCAGAGGTTAGGTTTAGGAAAAGAAATATGCTGAGGACGTACCTTAAATGACTCAAAGTTGATACGGTTCTGAACATGCATCTCCTGGAAAGTCTGTGTTTTTGGGACCCATCCACCACCCCAACCCGCCTCCTTACAAAACCGCTTGGATGGCTTCCCTGTTTACTTCCGTCAGCGCATTGGTCATATGATTGTAACCTTAGGTGCATTTCTTTTCGTATTAAAATATACGAAAAGCATAAATGTATACATAACATTTGGTTGATTACAGAAAAAAATAACTCCACAGTGCAGCTCTAAATTCTGAAGGTGTGAAATGTTTGCAGATTTGAAGCCGGGACCTGAACTGATCGGAGTTTTGAGATGATGTGGAGCTGATGGATTTGAAGGCTACAATGTTCATTTTTGTCATTTCATCCAAATTCAAATGCTAGAATTACATGTACAGTACAGGCCAAAAGTTTGGACACACCTTCTCATTCAATGCGTTTTCTTTATTTTCATGACTATTTACATTGTAGATTCTCACTGAAGGCATCAAAACTATGAATGAACACGTGGAGTTATGTACTTAACAAAAAAAGGTGAAATAACTGAAAACATGTTTTATATTCTAGTTTCTTCAAAATAGCCACCCTTTGCTCTGATTACTGCTTTGCACACTCTTGGCATTCTCTCCATGAGCTTCAAGAGGTAGTCACCTGAAATGGTTTTCCAACAGTCTTGAAGAAGTTCCCAGAGGTGTTTAGCACTTGTTGGCCCCTTTGCCTTCACTCTGCGGTCCAGCTCACCCCAAACCATCTCGATTGGGTTCAGGTCCGGTGACTGTGGAGGCCAGGTCATCTGCCGCAGCACTCCATCACTCTCCTTCTTGGTCAAATAGCCCTTACACAGCCTGGAGGTGTGTTTGGGGTCATTGTCCTGTTGAAAAATAAATGATCGTCCAACTAAATGCAAACCGGATGGGATGGCATGTCACTGCAGGATGCTGTGGTAGCCATGCTGGTTCAGTGTGCCTTCAATTTTGAATAAATCCCCAACAGTGTCACCAGCAAAACACCCCCACACCATCACACCTCCTCCTCCATGCTTCACAGTGGGAACCAGGCATGTGGAATCCATCCGTTCACCTTTTCTGCGTCTCACAAAGACATGGCGGTTGGAACCAAAGATCTCAAATTTGGACTCATCAGACCAAAGCACAGATTTCCACTGGTCTAATGTCCATTCCTTGTGTTTCTTGGCCCAAACAAATCTCTTCTGCTTGTTGCCTCTCCTTAGCAGTGGTTTCCTAGCAGCTATTTGACCATGAAGGCCTGATTGGTGCAGTCTCCTCTTAACAGTTGTTCTAGAGATGGGTCTGCTGCTAGAACTCTGTGTGGCATTCATCTGGTCTCTGATCTGAGCTGCTGTTAACTTGCGATTTCTGAGGCTAGTGACTTGGATGAACTTATCCTCAGAAGCAGAGGTGACTCTTGGTCTTCCTTTCCTGGGTCGGTCCTCATGTGTGCCAGTTTCGTTGTAGCGCTTGATGGTTTTTGCGACTCCACTTGGGGACACATTTAAAGTTTTTGCAATTTTCCGGACTGACTGACCTTCATTTCTTAAAGTAATGATGGCCACTGGTTTTTCTTTAGTTAGCTGATTGGTTCTTGCCATAATATGAATTTTAACAGTTGTCCAATAGGGCTGTCGGCTGTGTATTAACCTGACTTCTGCACAACACAACTGATGGTCCCAACCCCATTGATAAAGCAAGAAATTCCACTAATTAACCCTGATAAGGCACACCTGTGAAGTGGAAACCATTTCAGGTGACTACCTCTTGAAGCTCATGGAAAGAATGCCAAGAGTGTGCAAAGCAGTAATCAGAGCAAAGGGTGGCTATTTTGAAGAAACTAGAATATAAAACATGTTTTCAGTTATTTCACCTTTTTTTGTTAAGTACATAACTCCACATGTGTTCATTCATAGTTTTGATGCCTTCAGTGAGAATCTACAATGTAAATAGTCATGAAAATAAAGAAAACGCATTGAATGAGAAGGTGTGTCCAAACTTTTGGCCTGTACTGTAAATCATAAACTTGACTTTAATGAGACCTGCCAGCTATTTTGGGGATGAGTATTTCTCTACTAATAACTCTCACACAGCTCCAATAATAGAGTCAAGTCATACTTCAAACTGCAGAGACATTAAATAGCAGACAGAAGTTTGTTTGGATAGCACCTCTCTTCTTTGAAGGTCAACGTTAAGCTTGAAATCCAGTTATCTTCTTTTATGGCATTTTCTCTCTTTGTGCTGCGCTTTAACAAGCCTGTGTCTCCCTGTGTTTAAGTGCTGCCCTCTTTGTGTCTATTCTATACCTCTTTTGTCTTGAACCTTCTAATCATGATCAAGCCTTTGTTTGTATTTGTGTTGGGAGACTTCAAACAAGTTACCTGGGCATTCTCAAAATAGCTCAGAGCCAGTGCACCTGTGTGAAAGCATGTCATCTACCCATTCACAAAGCTTTGGACGTCACTCCACTGCTGAAAACACTGCAGTGCCATGGCACCACAGTGGTTGGTGTAATGACAGTGTAGAGTTTAAGAAGATGTGTTTTCTTCTTTAAGAATAAGATGATTTATTTTGCAGGAGTCAAACGCAGAGACAACATAAATTCTGCTTGTCACACACGCACATAAAAAGACCTTCCAGCTTCTCATTCTTTTGTGTTGCTCTCATGATTCTCTGAATTCCTGGCTGATGTCACACAGAGCCTCCCTCAGGGTTATTCTCGTCTGCTCAATCTGTGTTTGGCTAAAAGGCTGAGGTGTTTGTGTGAGCAGGCCGCAGAGGTATGGGGTGCATCCACCGATGGGAATGTAAACACAAAACTCATGCATAAATAAATAACTCTTGCACATAACACTGAGACACTTTATTGGTGATCAAATTCCATCCCTTTTCCAGAGTGAGATGAAGAGCATTTCTCTGACCTATAACAACAGCAGTGCAATAAATAAAACCAAACCGCACATATTTTGCACATAACAGACATCATAACAAGTCCAACATACAAACATTCATACAGTCGTTAGCAATAAATAATCACACTAAATAAATTACATTCTAACAAATTCTTGACAGTGTGTTTTAGACACAGCATCTAATGAAGCAGTCTACTGCCTTCTCAGGTCCTCAGACTCCTCTGGTCCGCTTCGTCTTCCAATTGTGCAGCTGGCTGAGGAGAGATGGAGAGAAATTATAAGTCAATAAATACATTAACAAAGAAACAACATGTATTTTATGTAGAGGCAAAACTATTTTGTATCAACATTGCTATTAAAAACAGCTTGAAGGACAGTGGCACATCCAGAAATTTTTCGAAGTCCAGATGGGGCAAGGAAAGTCTTGGGTAAGCACCAGTGGTGGCCCCAGGAGGGGGCCAGGGGGGCCATGGCCACCCTGATACAATTGCTTAACTCTCATATTGACATAGTTTTCAACTAGTCGAAACTTTTCAACTAGTTTTGTGAACCAGTCTACTACAACAGTGTTATAGAAATCATGAAATTCAGTTATGACTTTTGGGTTTCGTGCGCCACCCCAAGATTTTCAGTGGCTCAATCTGGCTGTCCCGATAAACCACTAGGTGGCACCAAAACCAAAAGTTATAATGTGACTTTCAGGAATTTGATTTTACTGTTATAATATATAGGGTAGTTGAAATCTATCTGAATATAAGAGTTAAAGTTTCTTATTTTACATTCAGTGTTACTTATCAACTGATATGCGGATAATTAGCATTTAACATTTTGAGTTCCACAACAATCCTGTCTAACTGTGTGATGTATCTGTGCATGTCAGACAATTCATTGTTTTTCAAACAGGTTGTTTGTCCTTCTCCCTAAAAGACAAAACAGCTTTGATTTAAAGGAGTATATTCATTGTAAGGAACAAAACTGGGAACAAGTTTATTCAAGTTAAAAAAAACAACACAAAAGCCTCCAGTTATATTTAATTTTTTTTGTTTTGTGAGGGGGGCCAGTGGGCCACTCCCGGCCACCCCTTGGCCGTGCCACTGCCTCACAGGTACTTTACAGTGCCAATCATTTAGGCCAGTGGTTCCCAACTGATGGGTTGCAGTCCAAAAGTGGGTCGTGGGTCCATTCTGAATGGACTGCAAGTGACTCGCGAACGTGTCAAGTTCATAAAAAACACGTTTAATTTTGGAGTACAGTGAATTTCCAGCACTGAGCTTTTATTTCCAAGTATTTCCTGCTGTAGAGTGAGTGACTAATGGACAATTACTTAACAGGGACAGCTAACTACCTCAACAACATGGCCAAAAGCAAGGATGATGCTGAATATATTAAAATGAGTGGATCTTGAACTAATGACTGAGGAGAAATCTGGACCCCATGGCTGGATCATGAGGAACCACTGGTTTAGGCTATTTATGTAGATTTTGTCTATATACATTTTGGTTGCCACCTCAAAGATTGTCAGGACTAAGTAAAATCACTTATACAGATAGTTTTTAAAGCCACTAAACACAGACTCTCTTTGTGATTGTTGCACCTTAAAAGCAATTTTATTGGAATAAATTTGTGTTTGTAGAAAAATCCACAGTTTACAGACAAACTTCCTCAATCATCTTAGACCTACAGTACTCGCTGCAGATGAACATTACAATTTGGCAGTGTGTACTTTGGTTTTAGCTCCAAATAAAGTTAAATAACCTGGTTGTTGTTGCAATATCATTGATTTCCCATGTCTTAGCAATTGATTTTGGTGAGTACAGTCTTATCAAAACTGATAGATATGATGGCTAAAGTCATATTTATTATATTTATCAAACTATTCAGTTCTGCAAACCACTCTGCATAATGAATCTAGTCAGTAAGTGAGACTGTAACCTGCGGCACTGCAGTCTAGAGCCAACAATTTAAAAGTTAAAAGAAAAAGTTTTACAGTTACAGTTATAGTATGGAGTGTAAATGCTACACGGGTTTCAGCTCTTCAGTCTGTACTGTACGTGTGAGACAGGCTTGATGTTCTCAGGGTGGACACTGAGTGACGTGCAGCCTCAAGGAGAATGCTGCACGGCCGCATTGTTTGTCTCCAGGTATAAAGTTTCTATGTGAACACGTGAGGTCTGCGTGTGTGCGTGTGTGTGTTGCTCAGTGAGCTCCAACCTCATGTAAGCAGAGCAATTAAGGTGTTACATCAGGGTCATCGCGTGTAGAGTCAGTGTGTCAGTGTGCTGTTATTGTTTGGACACACGGGTGAATGTGTACGATCAAGCATGTGGCTTTTCTTTACGCTGGTATGCAGTGCAGAGATGGGACAGGCTGAGACACCCCCCAGGCTAATCCAGACTAATTCCTCTAGCGGGGATTCCTCTTTGCGTGATGCAACTCGCTGTGTTCAATAACAACAACAGGCGTACGGGCTTTTCTGTCACTCTCTCAGCCCACTCCTTCCTGTTTGGCTTAAGGCTCACGTGAGCAGAGGCCTGACACCGCCCTCTGAGGACTTAAGCAAGACTTTTTTGAAGAAATACATCACCAAAATATACACCACTGGAAATACAGGTGCGCCTGATTGCATGTCCTTCTCACAGCATCACCATATTGTTTGCACAAGCGGCACTAACGCAGCATCACCATGACTTGGTTTTCATCTGGTCCCACCAGTGCTGCAGGGATGGAGTTTAGGTGCCCTGGCTCCCTTGACAAAAAGTCAACGGGATTTTTCCATTGGATTTAGGATTACGCAGAAAATCAGCTCTGTGGCAAGCAAAGATTATGACACTTACCCGTTTGTTCAGGCAGATAATCTCCACAAAATGAACACCACTTTTATGATTTTTGAAGCTTAAATGTAATCGCCAGAGGTAAAAACTATACTAGACTATATTTTTAACAGGTGTTTATGCATTTATTCATTTAGCAGTTAGAGTTACAGTTAGAGTTTTGTTTTATAGACATGTCTAATAATTGTTTTGCAACCTTGCTTGAACCCAAGCATTTGCGATACTTTGATAAATTACGGTTGATCACCGTCACACAGTTGCCTGATATATCTTATCACCAGGTATCATCAGGCTGAGAGCAGTCTGTAAATAACTAACTTGCTAATGGCCGACTGTTTGATCTACAGGCAGAGATTTAATTGGAGGCAGCAGTCTGATGCTGTTATTGTAGTAGAACAACCGAGTTGCCGGTAGAAAATGTTGGCATTGTACGTTTCTGCAAACCATGAATATGCTACATTTGCATGTTTTATACATATCATATCAAATCAGCGTGTCTACAGTGATGTACTATATGAGCTGACTTTGTTGTTGTGAGGTGGAGGGGACAGTAGATGGCATGTCACCTTGGCAAGATGGCTGCCAAGGAGCAGACTAAAGCAGAACACTGTTCAAGACAAACAAACAAACAAAATAAAGAATGTGTTTAAGGGAGTCGTTTCTGTCAGCAAGGATAGTACCACGAAAAGCCATTGTTTCTTACGGAGACATTGCTGCTTTTCATACTGACACTGCACCACTAACACTGGTATTGTAAAGCAAAATGTGATCTTTTCCTAACCATAATCAAGCAGATTTTGTGCCTAAACCTAACCACAAGTTAACCACAGCATTGTTGAAACAGATTTCCAATGTATCTGTTACATAATGACAAATGTAGCAGAAACGTGGCAGAAACGTAAAATGCCAATGTTTATTCTGGCAATTGGGTTGAGTAGTTAGCTTGTTGGCCAGACGTGCTAATATTTGCAGCTTAAGTTAGAGCAGACAAATACACTGTTTAAATACTCCGTTACTCTTGTATTTTTGGTTTTGGAGATGGTGAAAAAGGGGAATCACCATCCAAACACTATTTTAACACGAGAAATCCAAAGCTTGACAGCTTTACAGTTGCTAGGCTCGCAAACTGTCAGTCAAAGTTTTCATGTTGTTGGTGTTGAGATGTTTATGAATGGAAAAACATCACAGTTTAATGGATTTGATGCATAACTCAGTATGAATTAAGAAGTACAGTGACTGTGCGCACACAATTTAATCAGGACCTCAGTGACACCTACCTCATCGTAACTCGACGCCCTCACACCACAACGTCCCCGATGGGTTTCTGTAGCTTCTCCTGCTCCGTCCCAGTTCCCAGGTAGGATGCCAAGAAATTTTTATGTGATCTGTAACTACAAAAGACATTCAATATGAGTATAAAAGCCAAGTAGGCTATAATTCTCATGATTATCATATGATCTCAGTAAAAGTTGTTTTGAAAGGCAGAAGTGCAGAGTCAGTTGCACAGCTTTGATCCTGTCTAGACAAAAAATGAAATTCAAGGCGTGTTCTTATTATTTTATGGCAGTAATTTCTATGGATTGCAGCTTATGAAGGGCGATGATCATTAAAATTCTTACATGATTTTCTCTGGAGGGAGTTTCGCTCTCACAGTAACAAGTTCTGTTTTCTCTTTACCTCTCCCTCTTAAGTACTTCAGCTGCTTGTGACTGTAAAGAAGCGGACTATTGACTTTGTCCCAGATTCCAACAATAGCTGTTATTTGGTTACACATTGATAAGGAACTGTGATTATTCAGTAGATGACTTGTCATACCATTACGGTAAGCAACAGATGGCAGTTTAAAATAAAGAGTGAGTAACACATACGATTGTCGACATGACACAATTTACGGTGAAATGAAAAGTCGACAATAAAAGTAAGAATGAGACATGAAAGCTGTGGAAGTCATCGAGTCCAGCCTGTGAAGGTGGTGAGCAATAGCCGTATGGTGTGGGGGTGTTCGGGTGTGTTAATGTGCTTTTGATGTGTCAGTGTGTTCGAATGCCAAGAAGTGTCTATGGGCAGGATGTGCGGACTGTAATGTGTGTAATGTTGAGATCCGCAGGGGTGTGGGTGGTTGCTCTTGTGCATTATTGCTTAAAGCTTCCAGTTTTAAAGAATAAAATAGAAGAGAGGGGCTTTATTACTGAACTATCAGGTCTTATCTCTTTATATCTCCAACTATTGTGAAAAGTGATACCAAAGCAGGAGAGAAAAGCAGGTCACACCGATAACCAGTATCTTGTGATCTGGTGTAGATGGTGTTGCGTAAAGAGTTTTGAGTAAAAAATTTGAACATCCACACTGCACATAGCATGCATACCAGTCCCTGAGTTCATGATGCTTTATACAAAAAGATGAGACAGCCAAAACCGTTTCTTGACAAAATTTAAGGTAAAGTGACTTCTGTATGTTTTCATGCCAATTTCAGAGTTTTAGGCAAGGTTTACTTTGCTTTTTTTTTTTGTCTTTTTTGTGTTTGTTCATTTGCTTTGTTGCCTTTTCATGACAGGATAATTGTAAAGCATCAAAGTAGGAGAGAGAAAGGGGACAGCATGCAGCAAGGGGCCAAGGTTGTGGAACTGAATCTGCGGCTGCTGCAGCAAGGACCCTGTTTTGCACAGTTTACAGTCAAGTTTTGCCGATTTTTTAGGATAATATTTTGAATATTGGTTATTTTGGTCAGGATAACTGTGACGTGAAATTCTAAAATGCTTCCATACCTAATACAGAAACCCTCAAAATATGACTTAAAATGAAGTAGTAAAGTTAAGTGGAAGTGTAAAATAAGTAAATACGTTTTAATTTATTTGATTAACTGATGGTGGTTAAAGGAAAAGTACGATCTTGGTATGTGTTTTGTTTTTTTGTTTTGTTTTTTTACAAATGATTATTAAACAATATAATTTATTGATGTATTCAGTTATATTTTGACTTGTCTGACAACCTTTCACTACATTTCGTCAGTTTCATTATGAAATTTTTCCCCTTATCTTCCCGCTTTATCTACAGTAATTGGCAAAACTCCCACATGTACACTGTGCTTATCAGTGCCACCTTTGTTAGCCTAGGCTCGGTTTAGACTTCCATTGAGGTTCACATGAATCAGCATCTTTGCACCTGTGATTGAGGAGTTTGTACCAATTCAATCACATGATCCCTCATTGGCTTCCTATCTACAGACATAGATGTTTCTTCTGAGAGCCAGCGGATGATTCCCCTGCATTACAAGCCTCAAGTGCAGCGTTAAAGTGCTGCGAGCCACTGGCATACTTACTGAGCGCAGGTCATGAGCAGGATGGCAGTGCAGCTGATGACCGACAGGACCACAGCGATGATCACTAAGACCGTCTGCACCAGCTCGGTGTTGTTGATCTGATCGGACTTGGTTTTAATGGTCCCCAGAGTTTGGATCCCACAGCGCTCCCCATCGTAACCCTTCATGCATCTGCAGAGGGAAGAGTTAACATAACAATGTGAGGTTATGAGGTTCAAAGAGGTTTAAACTTGGTGCACACATAAATGTATATATATTTGCTTTTAGGATGGATTTCATTTTGCACTACCCATGGAGTTCATAATCACATGCATACAAACAAACAAAGGGAAGTGATGCTCGACTCACATGCACACTGGCTCCTGAAGGCCCTCTATGAACTTGCAGTAACCATGGATGCAGTAGGTCAGGTGGGTGGAGGTGCAGGGGTCCTCTGTGGTGCTGAGAGTCGACGTGTCGGTGAAGAAAGTGTGTGCAGGGTTGAGAGGAGTCGTGCTTTTGCTCCTGTGCCTGTTCTTCCTCTTGCCTTTGCCCTTTCTTTTCTTCTTCTCATCTTTACCGGGATGTAACTCTGTAGGAGGAGAAACCGGTGGTGAAACTGTAGCTGAGGTTTCGTTTTAGTTTAAAATTAAAGGAGTTTCCGGGCTGAATGTTCGGATCATTTTACAAGATGAATATTCAGGCATTACCAGAGTCTTCCATGCACTCTCAAAACTAAAAACCTTGGATGTTATCAGTCTTTACTTTTGTGACAGTGAAACAAAATTTACAAAAGATTTATGAGTCAAGAAAATAGTTACATGACCAACAAAGCCATCCTGAAAACTGTATCTATCATTGACCGAATTTAAAGTCTGTTTATGGGGAAAACATTTTTTCTGCACTTCTTTAAAGATTTTTTTTCAGTCTTACATCCTCATCCATGGAGTTGCCATGTTGCACCAACATGTTTCTACAGTGGCCCAGAATGGACAAACTAAATACTGGCTCTAGATAGGGCCAGTCATGTTTTCAGGTCAGCTACAGTAGTTAGCAGCCCCTCACTGACGAGCAGCGTCGGAAAAACGCTAATTTTCTTTAACATGAAAGTGCTTTAGTCAGTGTTTTTAATGGTTTAAATCACAGGTCCATTTGTTTTGGAGAGGAAGAGACCTCCACGGAGAATGCGGCTACCGGTAAAAACTTCCAGAACAATTAACGCTAAAGGATTTCCAACTAGGAGAAGTTGCGATCTGTAATCTTCACTGCAATCTGCAATCTGTACTTTTCTAAAAGAATGTCTTGACAACTTTCGCCAAACTGGTCGCATTATGCAGAAGGTACAGATTATCGTCAGCACAATTTTGTTTCTTCATTTCTCTGTCGCACTCAGAAACATAACACTTAAGATTTAGCTATTCTATAAACAGTGTCATACGAGCTTCAACCCAAAATAATCGGCATTTCAAGGGAAATAAAGAACCTCAAAGTCAAGAAGAAAAGACTCATACCTAATATGTCGATATTTTCAGTGTCTCCTCCTGAAACATCCTCGTCTACTTCCAGCTCGTCATCGTCACTCAGCGAACTTGGGAGGCCCTCCCCGGAGGCCGGACCCCCGGTCACTCCGGCTAGTTCACCGGAGAACGTGGCCTCAGATCCCTGAGCACCTAGAGCACCGGAGACTACTGTAAAACACACAGATAAAGAGAATAATGCATGAGATCAAATGGCAATGATAAGCAGTAAAAAGCAATTAGGGTCAAAGTTTAAGTCATATGATGCAGTTTAATGTGGGTTCATATGTCTACGCCCAGTACGTAGGAGCATGAAGGAGCATGTTCTCTCAAACCTAGACTTGAACCTGTCGCAATGAAGAGATAAAATCAATTAAGCCTATCCAGAACGTTCAGTTTTCTTCTTTAAAAGACAGAAATAGACATTTATTCTTCTTCTGTGGTGACCTGGAACTTAAGGTTGCCTAGTTACTTGCTATAAGCATTGTATTATATAATCTTGGCCCATTTACAGCTGACTCATCCATTCATCTTAAAATATTGGTAGCTTTTAAATTAGACACTCTATCCACACTGAAACCAGTACAACCAGTCCACATCCAGGACGGCACTGTACTTGAACACATCGTTCACACCAATCAAGAACAATGATGAATCAGGCTCAATCAAAGGCTAATTAAGTATCTGAAGTATGTTGACCTTTTCACAGAGAGCCACACTTCTGACACAAATTATTCTCCCTAAAATGCCTGAATATTTCTCTCCTGCCCGACAAGTCCTCACTTGCAGAGATATTTCTTCCTTCCTTCCTTCACCCCCCCCCCCACCACCACCAATTCTCATACCTTTTTACATTTTTCTCCATTTCTTTGATTCACCCTCTCTACACACACACACACACAAACACACACACACACACACACACACACACACACACACACACAGAATACAAGTCCAGACTTACCGAAGCACAGGAGACAGGTGAGGATGAGAGGGTTCATATCCCAGGAAGAGTGTTGTGTGTATGACGGTCCTGCGCTAATCTGTGTGTGCAAGTGTGTGTTGGAGTGTCTGTTTCTCCCCTGCTGATAGAGATTGTGCTTTGCTCTCTTTACCTCCGCTGGGTGCAGCTTTTATAGAACAACGCCTGCCTCTCAACTCCAAGGAGAGGGTGTGTGTGTGTATGTGTGTGTGTGTGTGTGTGTGTGCGTGCGCACGTGCGTGTCTGTCTCAGAAAAAGCAAGAGGCTCATGTAATCAAGCTGTGTGTGTTTTGTGTGTGTGTCTAATGATTAATCTGCCCCAGGCAACACATTTTGCACCTCATGTTCTCAAACATGACAAGGCTTATGTCGGGGAATAATAAGTCTGAACGAGATTGAGACACAAAACAGTTTGATGTATTCTGACTTGTTTCTCGTCACCATTCCAAAACACACACATGAATGTTCTTTCCTGCTTCTTTAACTGTTATTGCTTCCGCTCGCTCCCTCTATGGTCACGAATTAGGCCATAATTACAGCGTCAATCCATTAGTGACAAACATACTAACACGCTCATAACACTGTTACTAGGTGAAAACCTTGTGCCAACTTCCCAAATACTGAAAAAGGGCTAATTCTAAAGCTTCTTTTACTTTATTTTGGGATCTTCCAAAGTGTTATTGGACAGTTTGATGCGTTTAAGTTGTTGAAAACATGAAAATCAACCAAAAAAATCAATCAAAAAAATGATGTAATGTTCTTGGTAACAACACACACACACACACTTGTGTTTGTAATAAACCGAAACCAGGAGCCAGTAAAACGCCTGCACTTTACACCAGGTACAAAGATGGTCACTATAAAGAAAATAATGAAGGCGATAATAAAGATCATAAAATATGTTTTTATGATTTCAGTCAGTATCATGGACAGATATGGGCAAACGGTGAGAAGCAGGTCTAAAGATGGTCATGATAAACAAATAGAAGCAAATTCACGTCAGAATTTTGCATTTTTTTCCCAGAGATTAGATTTTTTTTTTAACATAAACCGTCTTTTTATTGTGCTTTTAACAATGAACAGCAGTGTTTTATTTCTATTTTTATCCAGTCGCTGGTTAAAAACACTAAATCTGTCAATATCCCATGTACTGTATGTTTTGTACTGTTCAGCGGGGTGTCTTTTTGTGTGTGTGTGTGTGTGGTTTGATTAAATGATGTTACTATTTCGGTACACAGTAACAAAGAGGAGACCTTAAGGCTTGGGTGGGGATGCTGCACAGATGGGTGTGTTGATAATGTTGTTGTGTCTGCACACTGAGGCTATCCCATCACCCGTGCTCTGGCGGAATCCTTCAAAACCAGCGAGGAATGTTGGGAACTCTCATTCCTCTGCCTCAACAATGACCAGGAGCTCCTGACTCATTTTGTTTATAACGGCTGTGGAATCGAATTGTTTGGATTATGCGTAATGGCATCGGGGACATGTGATATCAACGTGTGGAAAGTCTGACACAAGCCTGGAGAGAAGCTCCTCATAACAGACGCCCACTGTGAACACATGCTGCTACATGGCTAACGGCGCGAAGGAGGGAATATTTTTGATACACAAATACAACCGTATCTATTTGGATAAAACTTTGAATCATGCATTGGTAAGAAACAGTTACAACCTCAGTATCTGTTGGGATTAAACTGTGATTTGTGTTTGGTCTCAGCGATTAACCTTTTAAATTGATTGCCCAGATTTATATCATCCATATCCCTGAACTTTTGTTTGGTATGCACGTTAATTTCTCCGAGCTATTTGGGATCAGTACGACTTGACAAGTATAAAAACACTAAACACTGTCAATGATAATAAAGTCCCAATGTCCTCAAACAAGACAATACTAAAGTCCTGGTGTCTTCAAACGAGTACTTCTTAACTGACAGTGTCTTATCTTGTTACTGTTGCTAAAATTGGTCAGATTTGTTGCCATATAAAACTACAAACATCATTATTCATAAATAACCATAAAATCTGATCAGGTTTCGGACCTTGTCCACTTTTGTGTTGGGATCGGCTGCAGACTGACTTGGCAGAGATGGCTCCCATCTTGTTTTTACCGGGATTAGTGTATTGTGCTCCTACTACTACCTCTAGATAGCACAAAAAGTGTCAATGAATGAGGACAATAGGTCTAAGTTAAGCAAGTTAGGTCTAAGTTGGTGGCGCCATTTGGAGCCAGAGTTTGCACAGTAGCGATCAGGGCGTGGAGCTGCGGTATCAAGTTCCCACCCATACACCCACCCGCAAGCTTTGATCACTAGCACACCGACTGACACACACAGCTGTCAATCATGATATCAAACCGCCTTTTAATAGCATCAAATAACTAAATTAAAACCAAAGTTATGAGAAAAATGAACACTTGAACATAAATCAGTGTGATAAGAACTACCTAAAATGACAGAAACCATCTCTTTGATCTTTTAGTTTGTCCCATGTCTCATCTGCTAACATGGAGTCGAGTGGTTTATGATCTATGGCACTGCAGCCAGCCGCCAGGGGGCAATCAAGATGATTTGGCTTCAATTTTGAGAAGCTGTCCGAGCACCCAGGAACATGACCGCGCTTTGAAGCCTATTTAACATAGCCGCCTAATAGGGATTACAGCTTCTCAGTCACAACGTAATGGCATTAGGCCCCCCAAAACTTTTTTTTTAATATAAGAGTAACCCACACCAAAAACTGTAACAAGGTGCTGATCACTGGCAGTAGACTTGATTATAGGAAGCAAGTGTCGCACACTCTGGCTCCATATGCATTTCTTTTATTTTGATGATGTTTTGGCCTTTGGGCCGTCTTCAAGATCAGCCTAAGGGCTGAAACATCATCAAGATAAAAAGAAATGCATATGGAGCCAGAGTGTGCGACACTTTTTTTCTATAGGCTAACCAAAACAAATTTTTCCCATAGACTTACAATGTGAAAGAGACATCTGTCTATCAACCGATACATTTTTTTGAGCACCATGGCCCCTGTGAAATGACTCTCACCCTCAGGATTTGATCCATTAGATCTAGTAACATTTCATTGTCTAGAAGAGCTGCCAATTAAACCATTTTCATCCCTATTCAAGTTAGCAGAAAGCTAAACTGGTAGTTTGCCACTTGGCTGCCGTAAGTCTCTTGTGCGGCCCTTTCCCTGACACTGTATCCAGGGTTAGTCTCTCATTCTTTTCTCTTATTCTTTTTTAGCTAATATCAGCATGCTAACATATCAACGTTTAGCAGGTTCACCATCTTAGTTTAGTATTTAAGCGTGCTATTTGCTAATACCAAATGAGTAAAAAAGTGCAGTTTGGGCTGAAGGGACCACCAAACCAAAGTACTGGACAAAGAAAATGTTGACATGATGGTGCTGGAGTAAAGGTCAGGGGGTGTTACAGTTCATCCTGAGCGGACCTCAAATGTCTGTACCAAATGTAATGGCAAAGAAACCAAAGGCTGTCGAGACAAAGAATAAATTCTAACCTCATGATAATGCTGGGTGAGGAAGATCATTAGGATTCCTCCTCTGGGAATGTCTGTACTAAAGTTTGCGCCAATTTATGTATATGTTGATATACTTCACTGGATAAGAGGAAACCTTTACATTCTGGTAGCACTAAGACAAATAGGGATCACCAAAAGTCATTCTGTTTCATCCTCTGCTGATCACGACTGTATTTCATGGCGGTCCATCCAACAGCTGTTGAGATATTCCAGGCTAATGAACCAATATGTTACCGCCCCTTGAAGCCTACTGCTAGCATGGCAAACAAAAGTAACAGTGAAAACATAACATGAACCAGCCATGAGCTGCAAAACAAATGTGTACGTGGTACACGTGGAACTTTTTGTTTTCTTAAAGGACATGCTAGGATGCAACTTAATGGGGCCTTCACAAACCACATTACTCACTGCACGAGCAACCTACTGTACTATGACTTATGCAATAAGTAATAACAGTTACACAGAGGGAGCACGATGTGGAGATTTCAGATGCAACTGAGTGGGTGTGTTTGTGGGTCCGTGTGTGTGTGTGCGTGCATGCTTATGTGTTTTTAAGTACGTCTTAAATAGATGAGGTAAGTTAATGTTTATGTGTGTTCATTGCTGTTGATTAGCATACAGAAGACATAAAGATGCTTCAGTCAGATGTTAAAACGGCTCGTTGACTCTGGTTGCGGCACTAATGAGGGTACAGGGAGTAAAATGGTGTTAGAGATTAACTCGACACCGGACACTGTGCTCAGTGGGTCAGACGCTGACTGCCGCACAAACATTCTTATTTCTTTGTGTTGTATAAGTGAAGCGTGATCTTGCGATCAGATAGCTGATATGTTTTAATTAATAACCAGTTACCAAAATAAATGTCAGCATTGCATGCCTCTGCAAACCATGGATATGTAACTGTTTTACATTATTATTTAGAGGATATGTTTAAACTTTTTGTTTCAACAGTGCTGTGGTTAATGTGTGGATGTCTTTCGGCACAAAAACCACCTGCTTATGGTTAAGAAAAGATCATGTTTTGGACTAAAATACCCAGTTCAGGTGGAACAATCACTCGTCTCGCTCAGTTTTGTTGTTTGTTGGTCTCAAGCAGTAGTCTGCAGCGTGACAGCTGTTGCACCTGTGAGTGTCATACCATCCACCATGCCCTCCACCTCCCAATGACAAAGTCAGCTCATATACATGTAGCCTGCTCAGAACTTCTTAGAGGTGGTGATATGATTAGTATCAATTGTAATGATCCCTGGTTTGCAGTAATGTACACTACCAACATTTTCTCCAGGCGAGTGGGATGCAAAAGCCCTTACAAAGTCCTTTGCAGTACTTGCCTTTCACAAATCAGATTAAAAACAAAGGGTAAAAATGAAACTGGATTCAGTCTTCAGCCACTTTATGTCACATGTTCTAGTTATGTCCAAAACAATTTCATTTCTGGGATTTCATTTTTAAAACTTTTTCAACAACGTTTGGATGACTGGTTGCCCCACCTATGTCCATGGCAGTATTTGGAGTAACTCCTCTAGATGCTAGTTTAAGTAGAGCCCAAACCAAATCGACATTGTCTCTTTCTGCTCAGATCTCACCAGAAGGCTCATTCTGTGTAAATGGAAGGACTCTTCACCTCCAACATATGGACACTGCATTGGAAAAATTTATTAAAGGATCAACTGCACGCTTCTTTGCCACCTGGCAACTATTTTTAACTTTTGCGGCAAATATGGGAGCTGAAAAACTGTAATGAAAGACGCTACACTCCCCTACGTATGCCATCATTTTCCCTTTTTTAAATCTTTTTTAGTCATCTATTTATTCTTTCTTCTTTACCTTGTTTAAAAAAAAAGGGTCAGTAAAGGTGACTCTGCTGTCTGATTTTTATACAGATTCTTCCATCCTGACAAACCACTTGGTTATGGTTAGGAAAAGATGTGTTTTGGCTTCCAGTTTCAGAGGCACAGTCACCACAGGAAAAGCAGCAATGTCTCAGTAAGAAAAACTGGGCTGACTGGGCTGGGAATATGACTGTATGCATTTGCACAAAATATGGATCAACTTTAAAGGATACATGTCTTCTCTAAACCATCGAGCTCTGTTTTCTGTCATATTATCACAAACTATAAGAATTATTTCCTGAATCAAATGCACATCTTATAAAAGGTTTCTTTGCAGTGTCTTTGGTTCTGTGTGTGATCTTTTTCACTGTACACATTTTGACTCGTCACAGCAGGCAACACACAGGTGGAACTAGTGACACTAACGACGGCCCACAGGAGCAGAGCACTGGAGCTGTCAATCACACACAGCTGTTACTCATCAAAGTAATTACACCTGTCATGATGCACACTGTGAACAAGATCTTCTGAGGCTTTCAGTATACATAAAGCTACACCCTGACTTCCTACGTATAGCTCAAAATAAAGACACCACAGTTACATTTGGAAACTTTTCTTATTTATAACATGATTCACTTTTACTTACTGTTACTCAGTAGATGGTAGAAAAACCGTCTGTGAACATGCACTTGGTATTAATACAGTTCCAAAACAAAATTTACACTTGTGTGGAAGATCTGAAGACCAGAGAAGATCTGCAAAGTTAAAAGTCAGTGTTTAAATGAAGGAGCACAAGCTATAAGTTTGAAATGCACTTGCTTTAATTGATGTTTTATTAAACACGTTTTCCAGCTAATACTGCTATTGCGAAAATGTCATGTGTGGAAAAAAAACAGGACAAAGATATTTTCTGTCAAGGGAATTATTGATCACATGGAAGAAATATGTGAAAACTGTGTAAATATTAGAGAGGAATGTGAAGACTCTCGGCTGTACCCTTCAGACAGCAACAATGAAACAGAAAAAAGAAATTTATAGAAGAGTTAAAAAAAATTCAAGTTCATTTTTGTAGCTGTAACAGAGCTTCCGAAGCAAGACAAGATTCCAGTGTATACAATAATACTTTGTAATAAATTATCAAAATACCGGTAAGAAAACTCTCTGAGCACATTATAAAACACAGAACTGTCACACTGCTGTTTATAGACAATAATTTTTTTAAAATATTCATCAAAGAAACAAAAGGCAAGAAAGCAACAATAAATACAAACTAAACCAGGCAGAAGTGTTAGGTATAAATTAAAATAGTGTAAAACAGTGCAGGACTGTACTGTAGGGAGACAGAAGGCTGCTCAGTGGTGAAGACTTTATTTTCACTAAGTTTTATTTTTTGTTCTCTTTGATCTGCAACCTCGCTGCACCTCAAAATGAGCTCTTTGAAATCTTTACGTCAATCACACATTAACGGGGCACATGTAATTTTTAGGTTTACCTCTTGTTTAACAAACGCAGGCCTAAATTTCTAAAAGTATGCAGGGTCAGAGATGTTCAGCAATCCTTGTCCCTTGACCCACCATCACTGTCACCCCTTTGAGTCTTTAACCATTCATCTTTTCAAACATGAGGGCAGCAGGTGCTGAAACATGAGACCCAGCGCTACTGGAAACAACAAAAGCTGCTTCTTTTTCATCATCTTAATCTCTCTGTGCCAATCTGCCTGCCTGGTAAAGCGATCCAAAGCCGTGTGACGTCCAGTTAACCAGAAACTGAGTGAAAGCTCGTCAGGTATGTTGAAATTTTCTTGCCGAAAACTGGGTTTGCCTTTTCCAGCGGCGGATGTAGTGGGTGTGCATCTAAGCTGTCTGGACTCCTTTGTAACCCTGCCGCTTTTGCTGGCGTGTGTTTTTCTTATACCTGTAAAAAAATAACACAGATCATCACTTACTTATTTCAAAATATGTGCTAATCAAATTATTGACGCTGTTTTCTACCATCTTTAAATGAAAAGCCATGTGAGGAAATGAAAACTGCACGGTGACCCAGTTTAAATGTCCAAAGAAACGTCTTTGAGATAATAATCATTGTCTGTGGTTTGACTTGTCTCTGCATGAAACAGAACAGGATGTTGAGGCAGACTTTACGTCACGAGGGGCTTGATTTGAAACCCAAGGTACACCTGCAGGTTTTACATGATGACAGCCGTTGTGTCTGAGTCATGATCTCAAGTCTATGATCACACTTTATTTGCACGTTACCAGAAACTAAATGCATCAGCGAACTAGAATTTACGGTTGTACACCTCCGCGCACCAGTGAAGAAATGCCAAATTTGAAGAAATTCCCTCCAGGTGTTCTTGAGATATCACATTCATGAGAATGCAAGAGACAAGGTCACAGTGACCTTGAGCTTTGACCACTGACCACCAAATTAAAATCAGTTCATCCTTGACTCAAAGTGGGTGTTTGTGCCAAATGTAAAGAAGTTTTCTCGAAGTGTTCTCGAGATATCACATTCACAAGAATGACGTGGATGCAAGGTAACAGTGACCTTGATTTTTGACTTTTGACCACTAAAATCTAATAAATTCATCCATGCGAAACACAAATTAGAAAAAAATTCCACAAGGCATCTTGAGATATCACAGTCACTAGGATAAGATAGATGAGGTCACAATGCCCTTGACCTATGACCACCCAAATCTGATCATTTCTTTGTTGAGTCCAAGAAGAGTCCAATTTGAAGAAATTCCTTCAAGGCTAAGGCATTGCATTCATGAGAATGGGACTGGTGTACGGGTGGACTGGTGGACAGGTGGATGGGCAGACAAACAACCCGAAAACATAATGCCTCCAGCCAAGGCTATCGCTGGCACGGAGGCATATAAAGTTTAAAAACTTTTTTAAAAACTTAAATTAGGCAAAATTCAATTTTCATTTAACAAGAACCTGAAAACAAGCTACATTTCATAGCCGGTCAAAGTGGAGCCAACTTTAACTACTTTGAAAATTCATCTTGTTAAGTTACTTGTTGAGTTCTGAAAGTCTGGAATAAGACTGTTAGGACTCCAGTGTGTGGAGTGTGTAAAATGTTTAAGATATTTTTTGACATTTTCATGTTCGTTTGATAGTGAGAGACAGGTATGAAAGGAAAGAGATGTGAGAAGACCTGCAGCAAAGGGCCCTGGCCCAGACTTGAACTCAAGCCACTGTGGTAAGGACTCAGCCTTACTGATACACGCTCTACGCAGTGAGCTACTGTGGCATCCAGCATGTAAAATGTTAATCTACAGAGCAACTCCTACATCAGTTAAAAGTGGTGCAGTAATTCAGTATTATAGTGCTGCAGTTCTATATTTAGTTTTAACATGTTGTGGAGTACAAGTAGCCCATTACAACACATTCTCACATATCGACATCTGATCATGGACTCCAGATATGACGTGCAAGGTACCCTGGGTGTGTTGGTTGTTGACATTCTGGGACGCCATGTCAAGTTCTACCTGTTGCATGCATTGTTTTCTTTCAAAATACACTTCCATTCTCACAGGAAATTCACTGTTTACATACTGTCTCTAAAATAAACGCGCCCCGTCAGTACAACAACCTGCATTGACGCATGTGGTTAGGTTTGGGCAACAAAAACATGTGGTTAGGTTTTGGAAAAAAGAAAAAGGTTTGGCTTTAGAATCTGGCGGGATGCGAACACCATGTTAGTGTTTGTTAGACCCATCCACCACCACTCCTGCACGCCCTGTTTGGACTTTCACTGCCTTAACTTTTGTTTTTATCTGACGTCAACGTGGATTTCGATTACTTCGGAGTGAGATTGGGTTGCCTATTACATTACAGAAAATGGAAATACTCAAGTACCTCAAAACACAACATTTACATATCATCATCTTACAAGCTGATAAGGCGAACTTGTTCACAAAGAATTGCTCATTTACACATCCAGCAGTTACAGAGCACCATTTGCTTTCATTTGGAGTCATGTTACTGTTCAGTATTCACTATCTTTTAGCTCCGCCTTTGGTCTCCACCAACTTCTGAGGAAAATATCTGACTTTTTAGCTACTAAATTCTTCACTATGTTCACCATCTTGTTGCTTACTGTGTCTCACAGCTGTTTGGTGCTAGGTAGGTAGCGTACAGTGGATTTTTACAGCTTTTTTTTGCCTGCTGCAGCTGTAAACGACACAATGAGAGCCGTAGGAATGAATCACAACAGTTAGTGTGAGTTCAAACTCACTGTAAAGCTCCATTAAGCCAAGGGGAGCAGCAGATTCAGGTGTTAAGTCTCTGTACGTTCGTCACCAGGAGCAACCACTTTTACATTGTCCCGTTGTTTTCACAGTTATTTTAAACATTGTTTTTTACAAATATTGATCTTAGCCATTCTTCCAGTAACTACTGGATATGATTGGGATTTTGGTGTATCATTATCCTGTTTTGAGAAACCTGGATATGCTAGCTGGAGTTATCCAACAGACTGCAGCATCTAAACACTTTATCTGGGTTTGTGATCGTTTTCTGCCATTGAAGGATACTGTGGAGATACAGCATGAGGAATGAAAGGTGAGCATTTGAAGGAAGTCAATTAAAGAATTGAAAATGTAATGTTTTCATTTAAAAAAGTGTTTTGGAAGTTGGCCAGCTTCATCCTTACAATGCATCTAATGCTATCAGCAAGCCACATCAACATCATACTATTACAAACAGTTAAGTTACATGAAAAGTCATTACTCTTGCAAACACACACACACTCACTCACTCACTGACTAAATCCTTACCATTTGCAGCAGAAGTAAAGAGCTCCAGCCAGACCTATAATCAGCAGACTCACACAGAAAACGGTCACAATAATCTGCTCTTCTCCCATTGGCTGAACAACGAGCTCCGGGTTGCTGCATCTGGGGCCGTAGAAGCCCCTCTCACACCTGCAACACAAAGAGACGAGTCATGCATGATCACACCTGATAATTAAAACTAGCAGACACACACACACAGACGCACACATAAGATCATGATCGTACTTGCAGTGGTGCTCGTTGATGTCCACCAGCAGCATGCACTGGCCGTTGTTCATGCAGTAGCTGTCAAAAGTGCTGTCGCAGTTCTGTGTTGATCGCTTCACCACATGAGGGCGCTCTTCTCCCTGTCCTGAAACACCGACAACAAGACAGCTGATGGAAATCTTTTCACAGGAAACTGCATCATTTACACTGAGAGGGAATACATATTTAGACAAGCAGACAGCAGGTGTTTAGACACCCTCTGGTCTCGTTGACTAATCCCCAAATCTGAGTATTAAACTACCACTGTGACAGGTATTTATTACCTCAACTGTGTTTGCATTGTTCCATTTTTTTGCAGTAATAAAAGTGCCATTATTGGGATGTGAGAGTGCAGAATCAGTAACATCTTCTTAACCACCAAACCACTCAATTTTTATATGCAATATTTGTATTAGAGCTGCAACAATTAGTCGATCTAGGAAATAAATCTGCAGCTAATAGTCATTTAAATTATTTTTCAAGCAAAACTGTCAAACCTGTGGTGGTTCTGAAATGCTAAAAGTTGTTGCTTTTTTAAGTCTTACATTAAAGTAAATTAAATATTTGGGGGATTTAGACATTTGATGACATCACCGTGTGTCCTAGCATGATAGGATGAGCATTTGGAGACGCAGATGGAGGCGTGCGTCTACTGCTAGCTCACCTAGCACCACTGAGCTAGCTAATGTTACAGTTTGGGAATGGAAGACACCATTGATGTTAACATCTCACACTCTCTTGAGCTCAAGTCTCTTGTCCATGAGTAAATGCACACTTCCTTCAGGGCAGTGACACGGTTGGTGGGTGTACTTCGGTAGAAAGAAAATAGCTCTACATGAAACTGCTCACAACAAGGTCTGTGGATTATCTTGAGCAACCAGGTCATAAATTCTGGAAAGACACATTGTTGTTGAGTTTTTTTCTCTTGGTGCTTTGAACACCAAAATATTGGAGAGAAGGCAGACATCTCTACGGCCGATATCTTCAACACTCTGCAACTCACACCAAAACAGTCTGGACTGATAAACAGCACTACAGGTAAGAGGAAAAATATGTATTTTTTGCTGTACTACTGCAGAGTTCATCAGTGTTACAACACACTTCATGGCGTGCTGCACCAAAAATAAAACACATGATACTAAATGCAAAAAATATCACTTACAGTTATCAGGAGAGTAGTATCCCTTACTGTCTAAGATTACTTCTAGTTCTCCAAATGCATTTCAATACTTTGAATTATTTTTTTATAGTATTTCAAAGACATGCATGTTTTTTATACTGTACTTCACAAATAAAGTGATTTGTTACATTTGTGTGGGTGAATACCTGCAGAGAGAGAGGAGCTGTCCGCAGTCTGCAGTCTGGATGAGACACTCTTGGTGAGAACATACGGCCAGAGCAACATGACACCTGTTGAAAAGAGAATTTTGGTCTCATTAATTACACTGGATTAAAGGTCATTCTGTCGGCTTTGTATGGGTATTGAGTTATACCAGTCCTGTGTAGGCAGTAATGTTTCTATTTACTTGAACAATCACAGAAAACCCTGTCTCCCAACCTTTTTGGATCTGAAAATCAACATGTAATTTATGAGCTGTGATTAATTTGAAAAAGTGATTTTCTCCTCTAAAATTGTTTAATTTCAATTTTTTAAGGGGGCCAAAAATGTAAAATTATCTTATATTTCACAAGAAAAAATGAACTATTCGAAAAAAAACAGTAACGTTTTTTTCAATTATATTAAATAAAGATCTTGGGAGGCTTTTGGGGGTCCAGACCAATCACTTCATTGATTTTTAGACATGTTGGTTAACATACTGATACATTTTTTTCCCCATTTGATTTTTAACATCACATGTGTGATTATTCAAGATGAGGAAAAACCTGAATTCATAACTTAAAAGTGTTCTCCTATATGAACACTTTGGTTGTTGACCTTATCACGTGCAAATGTCATTTTCACATACACGTCAACATGAGTAAGAAATGTGCTTTGACTCTAGATCTGTACCATGATACTGCATGTGAGTGCAGTGCGTTCACACGGCTCCACAGTGATTGTTTGTTTACCGTGTTTTGATAAGACGCTACACCAGCATCAAGAAAAAATTCAAAGATCATAAATATATCTTTTGGCAAGAAACATGCGATTCCCTGCCAAGTTTCTCTGTGTAAACTTTGCCAACTGGGACATGATGATGTGGTGTGGCCCGTGTTGCCCGGCCCCACATGCCTGTACCAGCCTGCACAGCTTTATAATGCACTGCATTAGCAGACACCCACATTCCTGCAGACGGGAGAGGGAAAAAAACACATGAACCTGGATGCACGATGTTTCTGGTTATGACTGGTTATGAATCTGGTTATACTTGCTATAAAAGCCTGGCCATGGCGCCTTCTCTGGGTTTCTGTTCCTGTCTGTTGTTATGGCTGCAGAGATATTTTCCTCTGTTTTCTGTGAGAGGAGCAGCCTGGTTGTTGGGTGTTCCTGACGTGGCTGATGGGTGTAAAGTACATAGTGCACTCGAGCTGGAAGTATTGACGAAGCAACTTTGCTGTATTACCAATTAATCACTGTCCAATCAACCCATTTATATCATTAGTCACTGACTCACTGTAATCTGGCAGGAGCCGGTTCTATCCACCCATCTCCCTCGCTTTAATTTGGACGGGAATTACAACAGTACTTTTCCAACAGTTTGCGCAACCTTTGGCTTTGTGAAAAGTTTTATATGCAACACTGAAATGGTTCATACAAATATAAATAAATGTAGGGTGAAGGTGAGCAGCGCACAGTAAGCCTACTTTATATGACACTGATAATCAAGAGGAGCTAAATGAGGGACGGTTATCAGTGCAGGTAAACTCCTATCATGGTGGATAACCTGTTAATACACAGTGTAAATAAACAAAGGGAGGAATAAAAGCGGCAGTTGCATAGAAATTACTACAAAATTCTAAAGTGGTTTATTTCAGGAGGCAAAAGAAAAAAAATCCAAATGAAAAATTAGCATTCATATGATGACTTGCAGTTGTTGTGATGTCAGAATGTGAGTACATTTACTCAAGTACTGCGCTTGAGCACTATTTTGAGGTACTTGTTCTCTCCACTGCACTTCACAGGGAAATGTACTTTTTCCCTTAGTATTTTCCACTACAATTACTGGTTGTTCTTCAGTTTACAACATTTTTGTGGCACGGTGGCGCAGTGGTAAGCGTTGTCTCCTCACAGCAAGAGGGTTACTGGTTCAAACCCAGCGTGGGGGAGCCCTTTTGCGCAGAGTTTGCATGTTCTCCCCGTGTCAGCGTGGGGTTTCTCTGGGTACTCATGCAGATTAGGTCAATTGGTGACTCTAAATAGCCCCCACCATGTCAAGCTCCGCCTGTTACATGCATTGCCTTTTTTCCAAGATACAGGTTATGTCGTTTTTCCTTCAACAACAAACCCATGTAGTTATGTTTGGCCAACACACACACACACACACACACGGTAGGGTTTAGGCAACAAAAGAACAGGGTTTGGCTTTAGTGAACACTGGCCTCCTGGGTGAAAGTCGGTGGTTGTTGGATCCATCTAACCACCCTCCCACTCATCCTACTCGGACTTTCACAGCCTTAACTTTCGTTCTTGTCCCACCGTGTTTCCCCCTGACCCCGCTGGGTTGGCCGCATATCATGCCGAAGGGGCCGTGAAAGGACGGCTATTTTGTTGGTGTCTGATGTTGGAAGTCACTGCCCAAGCGCCAGATTTCGATGATTTTGGAGTGACACAGGGTTGTGTGACGACATCACAGATTTTTAAATCGCTTTTTTCAGCTCGAGGAAGGTTTTAAACATAGGCTATAAAATGTCCATGGATCATAATTAACCTTGTTTGCAATTCGAGGTGTCCTGTCAACAGTTAAATAGATGTCTCTTTTATAATGGCAGTCTACAGGGAAAATACTTTTTGAGCCGCAGGGGTTTTTTTTGTTGTTTTTTTTGGGCTGCAATACCGCAAATGGCCACTGGGAAAAACTGGAAACAAGGCCAAGCAGTGTTCCTGGTGGCCTGCTATATATGTAATGAGCAGAAGCTAACACACTGTCCTTATGCATCCAAAACTGACACTAGAGGGGTACCTGGAGCGGCATAGTTTGAAGCATTGTAATATTGGTACATTCACCTCAGCAAAGCATCTGAGTACCTCCTCCACTTTTGGGTACGCCACAGTTTATACAAGCTTGAATGTTCTATGACTTTTTATAGAGAGAAATAACCCTGAACAACAAGCAAATGACAAATTTAATCAGACCACATGTGCTTTCAAATAATAAATCTTCCATTCACGGTTTAATTGCCAACATCCTTCAGCATCCCTCAGGCTCTGAGATCAGCATGTGCGTCAACTGATTAACACAGGTATGTGGCAAAGGCCCTCACCTGACTCCAAAAACTTCCACTCCGGGCGATCTTTTCAGCACTTTGCACTTGAATTATTAAAAGTAAAAGAATATCATTACACACGGGACGGACCTGTTGTTTAAAATTAGTGGATTAATACTTATTAGCATCTTAATACAATTAGTTGAGGTAGCTTAAATTATTGTGTACATAACAATACAGACAGTTTTATCAGGTGGTCATATCTTTTGTAGGTTTTGATCTAGCTGCTGTCCATAAAATGTAATGTAAAAAGTGTCATATTTTGCTTTGAAATGTAGTGGAGAATAAGTATAAAATAGCATGATGGAAAGTAGAAGCACTGTCTTGACAAACTATGCATGCATGTAATGCACAAGTAATAATAATCCAGTGGTTTAACATATAATATAAAATTTTAGGACCATTCTGCTGCTAAATGAGAACGTTAATTTTACTTTTGATACTCTAAGGATATTTTATTGGTACTACTTAAATACTTTTACCTAAGCACATTTTTAAGTCTACAGCTTTTACATCCAATGGAGCAATTTTGGTACTTTTTGGTACTTGAGTAAACGATCTGTCACCACACTGAAAACTGCAAAGCAAAAACAGTAATTAGTTGTCAGATAAATGTAGTGGAGTCAGTGGGGATGAGTAAAAATTTCAAGGTTAAGTATTTAGATTGTTTATTTAAGTAAAAGTTGCAGTGCCAAAATGGGAAAATACTCTAGTAAAAGTACTAGTCCTGCATTTAAAATGTTACTTAGGGTTAATGAAAATACAGAAGTACCGCCAGCTAAATGTACTAAAAGTATCAAAAGTATGAGTATTCATTTTGCAGGAAAAATGGCACCTGTGAGTGTTATTAGACATTATTGGATCATCAAGACTGGTGCATCAATTTGTCAAAATGCAGCTAATTTAAACCAGCCTATGTGGACTACTGTTGGTTTAATCTACAACAATTCTTTGTATTTCATAAAATGACAAAGAAAAGTACAATAGTTCAGCCTAAAGTAACAGAGTCAAAATATAAAGTAGCATAAAATGTAAATACTCGGGTACAGGTTTTGTACAAGGAATGCAAAGCAAGCACAAGAGGGGCTTAATAGGATGATGGGCAGGGAAGGTAAAAAAAAAAAGCCAAGTGTGAATACTATAGATTGTGGTCAGTTTGTTAATGATCTGAACATCTGTTATAGAAGGTTTGATGTGAAAGACCCAAGGATAGGCTGCAGCACCGGTGGCAAGCAGATAGGTAGCTACGAAACTATTCAACTGTCAAAACCAGACCCAACAAAGCCCCAGGACCTGATGGTCTGAGAGGAAGGGTACTTAAAGTGTGCTCTGACCAGCTTACAGGGCCTGTCACTCAGTTGACTGCCAAACAGTTGTTTTTTCCATACTCACAGAACAAAATCTACTGTCTCCTAAAGATTTTAGACCAGTTTAACTCACTTCACTCGTAGGGTGCTTTCAGACATAGAGTTGTCTTGCTTTGGTCTGAATCAGGGATTAATTTTGTTACAAAGCTGTACAATTGCCTAGAGTTGGTTCATGTTCTCACAGCAGCATTTACAAGCAGATCAGATCAAATGCCTTGCGCTAGAAAGCTGCTCTTGATTGGCCAGAATTTCCATGCAGGAAAAATCCAGGAAGTAAAAAAGATGTTGAAGAAGAGTACACTTGCAAGATGAATGTGACACTTTCTAATGTCACAATGGAGGAACAACTACGCAGGTTGATTTTAGCGCTGCTCATCGTGGACTATATTGTTGTCATTGTTCATTTTAGTCAAACCGTACAGTTTGAAAACGAGGCGCGGCTCCAACTAGAAAACAATGTTTTGATGCATTGGATGTGCTGAATGTGCATATTAAGGCAGTACAGGAGGAGGTGCACATTAATAATCCTCCAGGACTGTAACATGCTCATGTTTAACCCAGACAATGTGTCATGTGACTGCAGCTGGTTCAGATCGAGATCCGAACACGTTCTCACCACAAACGAACCACACCAGAGTTCTTCTCCTCAAGAAGGTGCACACCTGAGTGCGATTGCTGTGTTCACACCTGCCCAAATTAACTGAACTTAGGGGGCAAACTAACTTGAGTTCAACTGAACCAAACCAAACAGGGCAGGTGTAAAAGCACCCTTAGCTAAGTGTATGGAGGGAGTGGTCAGCATCCATCTTAAGTCCTCTGTAGGGGATCAGCTCGACCCCCTGTAATTAACTTAAAAATCACACAGGGGGACAGAGGATGCTATTCTCACCATAGCGGACCATATAGCAAGACACCTACAACAACCAAAATCATTTGCTCATGTACTTTTTATTGATTTTAGCTCTGATTTTAACATGATGCAAATCAACACTCTTTTAGATTGACTTTTTAAGATGAATGTCAATGGTGGTCTTATTCATTGAATATGAAACTTTTTTTTAACTGAATGTCCTCAGAGGGTTTAAATGAATGGGTCTACTCAGACAAGCTTGTTTTAAATACTGGGGCACCGCAGGGCTGTGTGCTGTCACCACTGCTGTTTTCCATTTATACAAATAAAATGAATAATGTCAAGCTGTTTGAATATGCAGATCATTTGGCTCTGGTTAGTCTTCTCCTGTAGATAATGCCATGTATGAAGAGGCTTACTTCATGACAAGAAAACTGGAAATGATGAGGCCAAAACAAAAGAACTTATAAATGGAACCAGTCATATCCTCCCTGTCATCATATTTAATAACCAGCCTGTGGAAAAGTGGAACAATTTAGGTACTTGGGTACAACTATTGATCAGACATTAGCCTTTAATGGAAACTCAGAGAGCATTTCCAAGAGAGCCAATCAGCACCTGCTTTTTAATCAGGAAACTGAAGAGCTTCATTGTTAGCCAACACATACTTCCAATAGCATAGAGAATCCTGGTTAAAAGCATTTTATCATTTAACATTACAGCATAGTGGCAACCTGAGTGCAAGGAGCAAAAACAGGCTCTCCATTGTCATTAACATTAGAGGTAAGTCACAGAAGCAAGTCAGCACTATCTGACAGTGCTGTACGCAGGAAGGCTAAACATGTAATTGCCAATGCCTCACATCCATTACACTCAGAGTTTGAGCTGCTCCTGTCTGGGTGTCGATTTAAGGTCCATAGAGCCAGTCAGAACATATATAAGAAGTCCTTTATTCCCGTGCCGTACAGGCAATGAACACAGGATGACTGTATCAGGAACACTACTATTGTTATAAGATGTGCTCTCTTTTACTATTTATTTGCCTATTTGCACATTTTTAATCATATTTATTGTTAAACTGTACGTTTTAATTGTGTATTGTGTTGTGTGTCTGTCTGTGCATTTGATTTTTGAGAAGCCAAAGACAGATTTCCACTGAGGTGGAAAATAAAGTTATCTATCTATCTACTGTGTATATATATATATATATATATATATATATATCAAAAGTAACAGTAGCCTACCTCAGAACTGCATTTTAATAAAGTATTTGCGTAAATTTACTCAGTTACTTTTTATCTAAGTAGCTTTAATGTCTTTTCTGGTGTCTTTGCTTTGCTGAGTTTAGCTGTAGGTGGATTACCTGTCGTGTTTCTGACCTGATCTCAGCTCTGCTTTTACAGTAATAACTTCAAACTGAGTCCACACCTGAAACCTCCCAGCTCTAATCCATACCTCAAATAACTATGTGAACTTGACTTTGTATCAAACACTAAAAAAACAGAACTTACCGATCAGTGAGAGGAGCGCGGAGGGTTTGCTGTTCCCCATCTCAGAGCCGACAGGTCGCTGACAGGAGGCTCGCTCGGTGGGCTCTCAGGTGAGGAGCAGGGTGGATTAAAGACGCTTCCGATTTGCCAAAATAACTATTAGATAAAGGGGGGCAGGCGATACCTCCTCTGGCAGATCCTGACGGACTCAATCCTGCGGTCTGGGTGTGGTGACAGACTCCTGTAATTTAGACAATTTTACACTTCAAAGGTCCAAATAAAAAGAGAGACCCTGAAGGCACCGTTTTACCGAGAGGAAAAAAACAAGGAGGAGCTGCTCCTGTCATCCCTCTATCACTGATGGGCTTTTTTATTTATTTATTTAACAGATAGAAAGTGGTGAAAGAAGAATTTGGATCCTTTACTTGAGAAAAAGTCAAACTACAATGTAAAAATACTCTACAAATTAAAGTCCCCCATTCAAAAAGAGTCAATGTGGAGATTTTTATATACTGTATCCTGTAACCATGCAACATATTGGAGTAGTAGTGTAGTAAATTGCTGAAAAATACATGTAGTGCAGTAAAAACAGCAACATATTTAGGGTTAGTTGTAAGGGTTGCTTGAAAAGTCTGTTCAACACAATTCATTCAATACAATTTTATCTATATACATGAAAAGTCTCCATAGGTATCCGTACAGGTATCCATCCATCTGTTAGTCTATCATCGATATTCAGTAGTTGGACTGATAGATGTGCATGGGTTGGATACAGATGTCAAATGTATGAATGTATGAATATTTGCAAGACTGTGAAACTGTGTGTCAATAAGATACCTGACATATGACAAACACAAAGTATATCTCATTCAGTTAAGGACATTAGTTCAAACTGAACAGAAGTTTGCAAAGAAGGAGTGCAAAATAGATAAAGTGCACTATAGGAAGCTTAGCTGTAGGTAACACCTGCTGAGAGTTGGTAACATAGTTCAAAATAATGATATGTTTTAGGCAACAGGACAGTAGTTAAGATGGCATATGGTTGGATCCGGTGACTGACATAGACAGCTCAGTAATTGAAAAACAAGTATGACAAAGAAATGTACCTATGCTGGCTGAAAACGCTCTTTGTTAGTGAACTGAGCTGAAACACGTCTAATCTTTGTGGAATTTTGTGGGTTTGGTGGTATTGTGGTCAACTGGCCAGAAGCTTAAAAGGATCAACCCTGTGTAACCACATAAAACGTCCATGTTACAATTTACCCCGTTAGGTTGTGCCCCACGCTCCCCTATAAAGTAGCATAAAATGGAAATACTCGAGTAAAGTTCAAGTACTTCAAAACTGTTTCTTAGTGCGGTGTTGAGTAAATGTACTTAGTCACTCTTATAGTTACTTTCCACCAGTGCAGACAAATGTGGGTTAAGCACATAGTTTGGAGCAATGGCGTAAGATAGTTATGATGGGCCCCACGCTGTCATGCTCATATTGTCTCGTCATATGATCCGAGACTTGACACTAGATAGCATCAACGTACATATTAGTCAGCAATCATCACTGCATATTTGTATACAACAAAAAATACCAAAGAAAATAAGAAATTATTATTATTATTAGTTATTGAATAGGCATAACATATTTTATAGATGCCACTGACTATTGTACAAAAAGAAAAATTAAACATGACAGAGATGGGTTTAAATTTTTAAGGGCATATATGACACTGTTTTTAATTTAACATGAGTTCTTCTTTGAACACAGGCATATTTTCAAACTTATAAGGCCCGTTTCCACCGCAGGAACTTCGGGGTAATTTTACGGGGCCGGGGCCATTGGTGCGTGTCTCCACCGCAGGAACCACCCCCGAAGGACAGAGTTCCAGAACTTTTACAGGGGCTAAACAAGTCCCTGCCTCGGAGTAGGTACTCAGAACGGCCCCGAAAGACTCCTAGCTGGGGCTTGGGGTTTGATTGGGTATACTCAAGGAGGGATGTGATGTCAACAGAAAGCAACAAAATAGCCGGCATTTTTAAAACTCAGCAGACGAGGGTTAGCTCGTTCATATAGCTTCCGCCGCCATGTAAAAAAACTCACTAAATGGCCCGTGAAAAAAATATTTGTTCCAGCAGATATCTTAGTTACAACATGATTGAGCTAGCAAAGCAGTTTTGTGTTGATATGTGTGGTATTTATTCAGTTTTGGGAAATCACGATGTCTAGAAAGCATCAGCTAACAGCAGCAGCAAAGCTAGCATCAGGACGTCATCTGTTAAAAGCCTCCCGTTGTCGGATACGACATGAAACTACTCCAGTTAGCTCAATCATGTTGTAACTAAGACATCCGCTGGAAAAAATATTTTTTTCACGGGCCATTTAGTGAGTTATTACAGACACCGCTATCGGCTAACGGCGTCCCTATGTCGCCCCGGTCAAAATGGTCGCGCAACGATTACGTCACATCCAGAGCCCGTAACTTTACAGGAACCTTCCTCGTTCTCTGCTCTCTCAGTGGAGACACTGCGGTTGAGAGGGCTGAGCGACAGGACGTTCCTGTAGTAGTTCCTGCTCCCCAAATAGTACCAGGAACTTCTTCAGTGGAAACGGGCCTATAAGGACCCACTGTCCACCCAATTCATTGTTGGAGGACCCACTCTGTCTTTGGGCCCCCCACCTCATGAGCTCCAGTGCAACCGCACTGCCTACCCTTAGTTTGGAATCCTAATTAAAGGTTACCTGTGACATTCCCTTAGAGACTTACAGTTTTTATTATTACCCTTTGATTTTGTTTATAATGTAAAGTAATGAAGTATGAATATTTAAGCTCAGTAATGACTCATTATTGTTTTTTAATCTTTCCTTATTCTTAAAAAAATAAAGTCATAAAATGACCCCAAAACTGCTGAACAAGTTTACTGTTTAAACTGATATTTCACAGAATATTCACATATAATGTATTATAATAGAAACGCATGGTGGTCCCTTGCATGGTGACTTCACTGATGTGATTTTAACAGATGCGTGTTGATGCATGCTCTCTGTAGCATGTAACTTTATTTGTTGTTTGTTTAAGCAGATTTTAATCAGTTGCAAAATGTTTCTTCATCATTAACAGCGTAGCAGATCAAAACATATGATTGTATATTCCCCTCCCTTGAACACTCCTGTTTTACATTATCCATTCCATAAACTTAAGCAAATATAACGTACCATCCTTTTTTTTGTGACTCAGATCTGCTGTTTGTGCATGTGCACTGTTTGGTGTGTTAGCCTTTAGGGTCAGCAGAAGACTCTAGTACAGTTTGTGCATCAATGGTCATTATCCCTTCAAGGAAGTAATACATGAACTTGACATTTGTGTCAAATTGGGGACATCACGAGTCACCTTTGCAATTTATTTTCAAATCCCCCCCCCCCCCCCCCCCCCCCCCCCCCCCCCCCCCCCCCCCCCCCCCCCCCCCCCACACAGCAACATTATCTCCTGCTAAATTGAAAATGCTTATTGAGCCATATGTGTGTGTGTGTGTGTGTGTGTGTGTGTGTTTATTCACATACCCACAAAAATTCAAGCAACACATACACATTAATTTTCTGAATTTATTACAAAATTTTAAATAAAAAAGTTGAACACTTGAAATAAGTTAATTGATACATTACAATAAATAGTCATTTGTTCTCTCTCATTCTTTCACGGATAATTTAGTGAATCATATCTGACCCTGTTTGACATGAATAGACACAGTTTAGTTTTTCCTCAATTGTTTGAATGATGTTAAATAGTGGTCTTCTTTACACACATCAAATATCCAATACAGTCTCATAAGTGCTTTGTAGATCATTTCCAATGCTGTGGATTATTCAGTGTGATGAAATGTTATGGTTTGTGTTTAATGAACAGTGATAATGGTGATGACAGCGGTGAAGATGATGATGAACAGATGAGTTGCAGGAGGTCACACTGACGTCTCGGACGCTGCAGATTTTATTAGCGGTGCTGATTTTTTACACCTGGAAAAAAAGATCATCTGAATTAGAACTTGTTCTTGGTAACAATTCAAGACATTTTTAAACAAGACTCTTGTTTTTTTTACACATAGTTCATATCCTAACTGTACATACACCAATGCATTTGAAAAGTATTTATTTTATAATTTAAGAGGGTAAACAACCTCAAGACTGAAAAAAAAAAACACTGAGAATTTGTCATTTTGTCTGATGGTGTAAAGAAATCCCAGAGGACTTTGCCATGACTTGATGAGTGATCTCTTGAACATTTTTGGCTGATTCATTACAGGGAGTTCACTTGGCAGGGAGAGACAAACGGAATATGTCCAGAGTGCCAAATGCCAAATGTTTTGAGGCTTTAATACTACAATTCCTCTGCTCCTAACATGCCCTTATTCCTTCATAAAACTCCAGCACTGTGTGGAGGACGCCTGCAGATACTCACCTCTTATAGACAAAGCAGTAACTTAAGATGCCCAGGACGATGATGAACATGGCCACCCCAAAAATGATGCCAATCAGTTGCTCCAGCTCAGGCAGAGTGCGAGCGTGATCACTGTAGAACAGGCAGCGTTGCCCACTGTACGAGGACGTGCAGCTGCAGACCACACAGACAAAATATGTGAGTGCATTCCAGAGGTGAACACGAACCAACATGCGCATGACGATAAGAGGCGCTGATCATAACTAGAACATATTCAGGAGGCACAGGCTTAAAAAATGTGTGCGGCATAGCACGTCTTACATGCAAGAGGGTTCGTCGCTGTCTTGAGGGTACATGCACTCTCCACCATTTTCACAGTACTTTGCATGTTCACTTCTGCAGGATCTGTGTGAGCGCTCGACCCGAGGTTCCTCCATACTGCCTGCAGAGACACAGAGAGAGAGAAGCTTCGTCAGCAATTATCAACTCTTACACACAAAAGTATGGGGGCTCATTTGTGCCCTAAATAATCAACTAATGATCGATACATGACGGATTTAAAATCAAAACCAAATGAACAAAATATGCATTTTTTAATGTGTTTATTTTTTTTACCTTATTTTTCTGCAATTTATTGATTAATTTATTTCATAAACACAAAAATAAATTGTAGGAATGAGTGATTATTACATTTTGCATTTGTCACTTGCTTCTGCAGTTTTTTTTTCTTGCAGCAGGAGGTGGCACCTATACTGCTGTCAATTATTTATCATTTAATTCATTCATTAATTGATTGTTGAGTGGCACCACTGGGCCCCCATAGAGACTACTGTTCCCCACACAGATTTCTACGTTTTTGCACAAGATGCAATAGATAAATTAACATTTCCATAACTTTGGGGCTCTGTAAACGTCAGCTAAATTACTGATAAAACACAAGTGACACAAAAACCAGATTGCATTGACGACACTTACTGTTGTTGAGCTGTGTGGTCAGAGATGAGATCGACACAGTGGGAGTTGCTGTGGTCAGGAGGTTGTTGCTCAGCATTGCGGATTGGCCTGCTGTGATCAGGAGAAGCAGCAGGAAGGCTGGAAATGACCGAAAATATGGATTTAGATTATTAGTTTTTACTGTTGCTTCTCTTCTCTCCCTTGTGGTGCTGCAAAACTTGTTGTTTCCAAGTCGAGATTTTTATTATCTTGTTTTTATGTGATTCTTTTACTCACGCCTGCAATGTTGTGATCACAAATATGAGAAAAATGTTGCTCGGCTTTGGTCTAAAGTTATTGCCTTTTTTTTACTTTTAAGAAAAGATCAACATTACCAAAACACCACATTTTAATAGTACTGTTACAAGTGTTAAAGCACCTTTTAACTAATCTAAGCAAACTACAAACTCGCCGAATTCTACTCTTTTCAAATCTGACACCGCATAACAAAACTTACCCTTCCCCAGGTATGTCTGTCTTTGTGCAAACATCTTGTCGTCTGTCGGCGTTATGTCTGATGTTCTCAGCTCAACTCCTTCTGTGTGATCACCAGCCGGCTTCTGCTGAGTTTATATGCTCCAAGCCCCCACAAAAAAATGCCAATCAATGAAGCGAAAAGTGAAAAGTGAGAGGCATTTCCTTTTCAAAAAATCTATTTGCATCACTTCCTTTATGTGCGCCGGCTCCCTGCATGTAGAGGCAAATCTGATGATGGTGGTGGTGGGGTCACATGATTGCCCTGGGGCTCCTTAAATGTGACTTCTTCCTTGGAAGTTTTGTGAACCCACGCAGTTGTTTGATTTGTAGTTTCACTCAAATGCCTCTTGCAGTTTTGACAGGTCGCTTCACTGACAATTACACGTGTTGTGAAAGCCTCAGTTTCTTCAAAGGGATGATTATAGAAAGAACATTTTACAGGATTTTCTTTGTGTTTGTGTGTGTCTTTAACTTTCTGTATGACAAGTGAAGTGAGGACAGAAACATAGAGAACAGGTGCTGTAAATATGAAGTGAAACATTCTTTACTCGATGGAAGCTGAGTTTGAATATCCAGTGTAGAGAACACAAATAAGCCTCCTGATCTTATTTTGTTTATTTTATTCTATCTCAGTGTCACTTTCTAAGGCAGCCTCTATAAAAGGGTTTATGTGCTGTAATAATATATTTATCAATGCTTAAAAATCATTTGCTAATGTTTAATAGACTATTCGTACACTATTAATAATAATAAGTTCTGGTTTGCCTCGACACTTGTTTTGTCTTTTAAGATCAACCACTTGCCAAATTCTATGCTTAAAGGGACAGTTCACCCCAAAATCAAAACACTCATCTTTCCTCTTACCTGTAGTGCTATTTATCAGTGTAGATTGTTTTAGTGTGAGCTGCTGAGTGTTGGAGATATCGGCAGTAGAGATGTCTGCCTTCTCGTCAATATAATGGAACTAGATGGCACTCAGCTTGTGGTGCTCAAAGCGCATCACTGGGCAGAAGGAAGCGTATATCTACTACTACTGTAAGTCACCTACACCAGTGAGCATGCAAACGTTACAGCTCCTCTGAGGAGGATTTCATTAATGTTTAAATCTCAGGCTGTCACAAGCATGAAGCCTCTTGTCCATGAGTAGATGCACACTTCCTTCTGCGTGGCAATTCTGGTGATATGGCTGGTAGCAACACATTCTCACTCCAACCTCATCACATATTGTTGCTTGGTTGTGGGCTTTCCACGTTTACATATATCATGCAAGGTAGCCTGGGTTCATCTGTTGATGAGGTTTTGGGACGCCGTGTAAACTTCAGCCTGTGACATGCTTTGTGTCTTTTCAAAATACACTTCCATTTTCACAGGAAATGTACAATTTGCACGCAGTCTCTGTCAGAATAAACGTACTACATTGGTACAGCACCGCAAATTGATGTTTTTTAATTCAACAACAACTGATTACTTGAAGAAAAAAATACAAGGGTTTAGCTTTACACTCACTTGGGATGCGAACACCACCACCCCTCCTACCCACCCTGCTCAGACTTTTCGCTCCCTTAAGTTGTTGGTGCTGTTTCACACTGATGGCGCCCGGCTGCGTATCATGCTGCAGTGAGAGAATAGAGACAGAGTGCAACGCATCATAATCTGAAAGCCACACCCCCAAAGGGGAAACGAGACCCGCTTTTCCCCTCTGCTTCTTCACTCGTTCAGTCATTCTGCCTCTGCAGCCGCGCCTTCAAGTCTCCATGACTGAATTGCTAGCTAGCTAGCTAAAATTATTAGCTATAGCTAGCTAATAATTAGCTAATAATAAAATGGCAAAGGATTATTTTAGCACGCTATGCCTACCAGAAAGGCAACGGTATAGTAATAAGCTTAATATTGCCGGTCTACCTCAGTGTCCCTTCTCCTTACCTTGCTCGTCTTGGAAAAACATGAGCAGAAATCAGTCAGTCAACTAAATCGACCGCTACTCCCCCATCTCCACATTCTCCCTTTACTGCAGTCCAAGCCTGATATGGAGATTCTTTTTTAAGAAGATGAGCATTTCGGCATGCTCAGCCGTCAGCCTGCTCCTGCTATCGGCACACGTTGGGAAAGCGGGCCTCGTTTCGCTCTGTCTCTATGGCTTGTTCGTCTGTGTCTGACGCTGAAGTCACTGCCCAAGCACCAGTATTTGACGACTTTGAAATGAGGCTAGGTTGTTGGTGGGTGTAGTTCAGTAGAAATAAAATAGTTCCTACATGAAACTGCTCACAACAAGGTCTGTAGATTATGTTGAATGACCGGGTCATGAATTCTGGAAGGAGACATTGCTGTTGAGTCCCTCAAATGTATTTTTTGGCAGTGTGAGCACCACAAACTGAGTGCCATTTAGTTCCATTATATTCAAGAGAAGGCAAACATTTCTACAGCCACTTTATCCAACTCTTGGCAACTCACACCAAAACAGTCTACAATGATAAATAGCACTACAGGTAAGAGGACAAATATGTGTTTTTGATTTGGGGTGAACTGTCCCTTTAAGTCATAAAATTAATTCCCATTCTCATTTTTCAAGTGATATATGTGATAAAGGAACAAACATAATCACGTAAATATGAATATGAATTGTCATTTTTCCACTTTTCAGCCATTATTAAAGGCTTACTAAATGTACAGGAGAGTCTCTGAGGAATTAAAGAGCTCAAGAACAAAACAAGTGTCATGCTGGAGAAGGACTTTCCACAACCTGGCAACCCACAAGTTGTTTTTTAATTTTCATAACTAATATATAAAGCATTTGTAAAATATTTAATAACCATTAGTAAAAATTTAAATTACAGCTTACAAGCCTTTTATAATGTGTTACTCACTAGAGAGGAGTACCACAGTCTCCTTTAAAAAAATCTGAATCATTTCACTTTCCATTTCCTGATTTCAACATTCGAAAGAATTGAGTGATGCAGGAAATTCCTCTGGCAGAGAAATCACTTTGTGTGGGAAGAAACGGAAAAGGAAATTAGCAGTTTGTGGATTTAATACCTCATAACCACAGTGTCCATGGTTTGATTCCAGCTGAGGATTTTTGGTGCATGTTATATCTCTCCCTGTCTGTCCGTTAAAAGCAAATTACCTCAAAAAGGCATCTGAAAATCAGAAAAAAGAATGACTGAGAGATCGTAGTACTGGCACAGCATTGTTTTTCATTTAATATTCTTTTTCCAGTGAATCTGGACTGTTCAGCAATGAACCAAAACAACTTCAGTAGAAAAAATATTAATCTAAACTCTTAAAAAGTGAACTCTGGAATAAATAATTCAAATAAATAAATGAACAAATTCAAAATATAAACAAATGTCAAGTAAGTTTCCCAGCAGGCATGGAGTCTTGAGCTCATGGATGCTCAAATAAAAGTGTTTGATGTTTGTGTAAATAAGTGTGTGTAAATAAAGTTACGGATGTATGTGTGTGTGTGTACAGTACGTATGCATCCACTGTATATCATTCAGTAAAAGCAGTGTGTGTGTTTAATGCATCAGTGCATTTCTGGCAGCGGTCACAGTGTTCTTCATCAGCATGGCGACTGTCATCGGACCCACGCCTCCGGGAACAGGTGTGATGAAACCTGCCTTCTCCTTCACTCCTAAAAGTCAAACAAATAACCTGGAGTTAAGTCACGCTGTTTTGACCTCAATGAACTAGAGCTGAGATTGACGGTTATATCTTTGTTTGACCTTTTATTGCTGTGGAACGACATCACATACGGTAAACTGATCCTGTCTCTCAGCAACCCTATATTTATTTGTCACCTGAAACCTGTGAGGTGTGTATCAGTCAAGTTAGTACTCCTGCAGTGAGAGTGGATATTTTCACAGGTACAAAATAAAATGATCAGTGAGAGTCTGAATCTTCCTTTCTGAGGTAACTCTAATGAACGCTTGATTATTTACCCTCAAAGTCCACGTCACCAATGAGCCGCAGTTTTCCCGTGTTTGGGTCCTTGATGCGGTTTATGCCGACGTCAATGACTGCTGCGCCCTCTTTCACCATATCTGCTGTGATCAGTCTGGGAACACCTGTACACAGAAACCAAGAAGGGATTTGCAGTTAGAAGATGACAATCATAAGTTTCTTTAGCCGTTCCAAGAAAATTATTTCAATTATGTCATTACTTGGGGATGAGCTCATCAGGTATGGCACTGAAACCCATGGACACGTCATACCTGTTGACAAAAATAAGATGCCGGGCCCCGACTAACACCTCAGTCCTCCCCTCTCTAACAACTTTTTAGACCGGAACTGGTTCTTGAACCGGTTCTATTCAGGATTCATGGGATCTTGGTGCTATCTAGTAAACCAGCCCATGTTTCCACCAGTTTTGACCGAAACTGTAAACAAGGATGTGTCATCAACTGACGACATTGCACAATTCACAACGGAAGTGAACAGTAGGGGCAAGAAGACACGCTAATTACCTGCAGGTTTTTGTTCAGTTATTATAGATATTAGGTTTTATCCAAAAAACAAGCATGGATCAACAAATAATGAGACCACTGCACACTCTTTTTTTCCCGATGATTTCTCACTTGACTTCTCCATTGTTGCCCTCTCCATCCTCTCTATACAACTTTAGAATATGACACACCCACTAATGTTGTCAGGGATTGCACTTTAGGTCAAAGAAAACCTGCTATTTTTTTGGTGCCAGAGAGAAACCAACTTTTTGGGTTGCCAACTAATTTATTTTTGGCTAAAATGCTCCAAATGGTTCAAAATTAGATGCACAAACCTTAAAGGAACCGGTTAAATGATGGTGGAAGAGGGGTATAAACTACCTGGACCCCAGCCCAGCCACTATAAGAACATGTTCTGTATTGTGTGTTTCTGCAAACCACATAACCACGCTTCATTTGCACTGTCCATACATATTTCTACATTTATAAAGTGACATCATGTACAAGCTGACTTTGGGGAGGTGGAGGGAATGGTGGATGGCTTGTCATCTACACAGGATGTCTGCCAAGGGATGTCACTGCAGACCACTGTTCGAGACCAACAAAAAAATGGTTGTGATTTAGCAAGTCATTGTGTGTTCCCAGCAGCTTTATAGCCCCAAAGCATTGTTTTTTTTAAGTATTTGTGGCTGTGTTTCACGCATCTTTTCAGGCACATAAGGAAGCTGTTTTTAACCGAGACAACGCTGCTTTTCCTCACACAATAGTGGCCCAAAAAATGGTTGTTTTTTGCTGAGACATTGCTGCTTTTCTTGTTGGGATTGTGCCTCCCAAACAGGGCATTTTAAGCCAAAACATCATAACATGCAAATGTAATATGTACGTGGTTTGCAAAAACATTCAAAAGCCTGGTGATTGGGTTGTGGACCCAGGTTTTGTAGTTATCTCATTAAAGAGTTAAAGTACTATAGACCTTGTAAGCAAAATATAACTTAAAATAATTAAGATCTTAACACTAGATTTTAAAACACGGCCCCTCTTCAAGAAAGAACCCAGCCTCTCTTGTGCTTTAGTGCATATTCCCAAAGTTAAAACTAATGCAGTTACCAAAAACTGCCAATTTAGTAAGTCAGAGAAGTTAGGAGAGCAGCGAACATTTAATTTTTCTGCAGAATTGATGTTTACAAACACTTATTTCAAACCTGCGTCATTTTGCTGCTGTACATTTGCTCTAACTTCTGCTGCTGAACATGCTGACTTGACACTCAGACAGCTGGACAATGAAGTTTAAAACCTCAAAAATTATTTCAGCACTTTGGTTATTTGAAAAGGCATCTGCAGCCTCCATCACATCCAAACACCACAGCAGTGTGAAGAACCCATATTGAGACAGAGGCTGCAGGTTCAAATAAGTTTCACTGAATAGCAAATATTTTCTGCAGTGATACTTGTCATCTCCTTTTAATCACAGATTCTTGTGGACAAATTACCACTTCACCTTGAAATTAGAAGTCATCAAAATAAGACAACACCTCGGATGACTGTCTCAGAGGAAGGAGACAATTAAGCAAAATGTTTTTAATTTGATATCCACTCCATTTTAGAGTTGGCAGACAGTAAAATGTCAATTTGAAGACTGTAATTACAGCTACTTAACAATGGTATTAAGTCTGAGTCAAATAATTAAGTATCAACTGTGGAAAATAGTCGTATAAAGCACACAGACATCAGAGGAGCTCACTGACACGCTAACAAAACTACCTGATTCCCACCAACTGCAATTACAACACTAAAATCCCCGACGCACTTGATTTTCAGCAACATTAAACCCAGATGCATCCCAAGTGACATGAAAACAGTTTTTGACAGTTGTACACTGCATCGCTGGAGTTCATCAGTGAATCAATTTACTTTCTACAGAGTCAAACCTCATAGTTAGATGAAAAGAAAAGCAGGAGCCCTTCCCAAAGACCTGCTTTAGTCATCAGGAAATATCCTGTCTTTTACAAAGGAGTACAACATGGCACCCCCTCAGGCATACACGGTTACTTAAGACTCTTTCAACAGATACTCTTGCTGTGCATTGATTGATAGTCTCACATTCCAGCTGCCAAACATCACTGTTAATCTGCGACCACAGGTAAATTGCGGGCAAATATACTGAAACTTCACTTTTGTTTATTTCGATTCCACGTAAAGGGCTGGTGAACACTTTCACAATACTCCCCCTGGTTGCGTTACCAGGAACATCATTGCCTCTGTGGCATTTCCAACATAATGAAACAGCATCTGACACTAAATGAAAACTCTTGAGGCTAAAGTTGCTTTAGTAACAAAAAAGCAGAATCACTTCCCCTAAGGTAAAATTTGTTTCATTTGTAATGCAAAATCGTGGTTAAGTCAGGAAAACTTTAGTCAAAAAAAACTTTATTTCCATTTGCAAAAATTTGATTTAGTGGTATGGCTCTGTTCTGGGGCCCCTCTGCTTTTCCTCTGGCCTACGCAGGAAGCCTCTTCTACGCGCCTACGTAGAAGGCAGAAGGCAGAGAGAGCAAACCTTCCCGCTCTACTGCGTGCTTACATGGAAAACCTTAAGCAGAGAGAGCACACCTGTCTGCCCTTCCATGTGCCTACATGGAAAGCCGAAGGCAGGGAGAGCAGCAGCAAAGAACAGAGCAGCTGAAAAGGAGGAGCTTGCAGTGAAGGCAAGACAGACAGCGGAGAGTTTGGGAGCTGGTGACGGTTGCACTTGTTGCACTGATGTGCATGAAACCTTCGAAGAACCACCAGCTGACATAAAATAAAGGATCAGATCAGGCTCTTTATGGCTGAATAAAGCTGATTCTGGTCAGTTTAAGATGCCTTGATCAGCCTCAGTGCTGATCTTTGAGATTCAAATTAGGACATGACTATTCTATATTGTTTCTGCCATTATATCTCCCTAAATCCAACACACCAGACCTTTAATTACAGATTATCCAACACTGAAAAATAACTGTTAGTTGCAGCCTGACAGCTGACTGAAATCCTGTGCATGGCTCTGTATCATCAAACAACTTGAAAGACTTTTCTCAGTGTCAGATATGTCGCTTTGGTCATCAGTTTATGATCAGTAAATTAGTAGACAGGTGTGTCTTTATGGTGTCTGGGTTGGAATTACCTGCAGCTGCAATGATGATGTCAGCCAGGCTGGTTAGCTCCTTCAGCTGCTCCCTCGGTGTACATCTGTGGGCAATGGTCACTGTGGCGTCACCTGAGAGGAAACAGATTTCTGCCACTGTTGAATTTCACATCTGGTGTTTATAGCAGTAAAAAAAAAAAAGATCTTTTTAAACAGAACTGCTTACAACTGAAGCAATGGCCCCTCTGAAAACTCTGCACATTGACAGTTTCTCTGACTAAAAATGACATATTTCTGAGGCCTTCCTGAGGCGTGCCTGAGGAAAAGACCACCCCTTCTAACATCAGAAAAATGTATTGCAGATTTATGAACTCTTTGACCTTTTGGGGTAAAGGGCAGAGGCACTATATCACACAGAAAAGGCCTCATATTCAATAAGGGCAGACAGTCATCTATGTACCTGAAGATTTTTAATATTTTCTAAACCTCATAAGCTCCAGTCTATAAAACAGCTGCCATTTATTTAATTATCTGCTGCTCTTTCATTAATTGCAATTTCCTTTAATTCAAACACTAACATTAAATCAAAATTCGGTAACATTTAAACTTTTAATAACTTGTTGATGCATTATTTGATTTGTCAGTTTTCACAATTATGAACAAGGGAAAAAAAAGGTAATTATGACTTCATTTATAAAGCACCTTTCAAAAAAAAAAAAAAAAAAAGACAAAAAAGAGAGCCGGAAAAGAATCAAATACAAACCCACAACAAATAAAAAAACAAACAAAAAAAAAAAAAGCTAAACAATGGATAAAACTGCACATAAAAGAACAGGTAACAAATAAATGAACCCAATCTAATTCTAACTGAATCCACTATCCTGTAATAGTTTTTATTTGTTTAATTTTATTGATCTGTCTGACTCAGATCAGGAGGCAACAGTGATTGATCGCTCGCACTGCACATTCACTCCACAGTAAATATTTAAAAATGCATGCCACCGTAAAAAACCTGATTTTGCTCAATGATCAGTAGAACTAAAGACTTGTTAAATATATCAACTATAGTTGCCTGTTTATTATGTTAATACATTACTCTTGTGCCTGAAATTGTCTTTAAACTCATCAAAGCAGGGGTGCGTTCTCCAGTTCAATATGTGCCAGGTAGAGGTGGGGTGATGCACTTATTACACAATGAAGGAGAAGCAGCATGACGACAGTGATCCTAATCTTTATCTAAAATATGTGAGCACATCCTGCATGGTAATAACTGTACTGTGACCGGCTGGACAGGTGTGGAGTGGGGAAAAGAGGATCTTACAAAGAGGGTTTCTAGGAAGATAAGTATGAGAGGGAAGGAGAGGCAAGTCACGGCACATCAAACCTCCGGGCCGCATACCTTATGGGACGGGTGTGTGTGTGTGTGTGTGTGCGTGTGTCTGAGAGAGACATAGAGAAGGAAAAGAAGAGAACTGACACTAAAATTAAATTATAATGTAGTTTAGCAGAGTGTATTTGCTACAGTAATACCAGATGCTTGTTGTGTCCGTGCACATCCGGTTATCCCTGTCTTCTGAGGAGTAGCAAAGCATAACAGCCCACATTTCCACCATGCACAAAAAATCTGATATATAATGCAAGTAAGGATTAAAATCATACAGGATAAGGGACTTCGTTATGAGTCTGAGTCTTTGAAAATGTATCTTGTTGACATGCTTTCATGCGTATTTCATCCTGTTTCATCATGTTTTCTGTCCCTCTCTACTACTGAAAATTTAGCGAAGGGGAAATGTCACATTAAGAAACATAAATTCATACATTACTAAAAATCATAAGGATTATTATTAATAGGAGCAAGGGAGCCGGTATCGACTGAGTAGGTTGATGATAAATGATGCGTTGGCTGTTTTGTGAAAGTCTTCCCTGCAGTTCCTCCCATATACTTCAAAGGCAACGGACCAGCAGCATCATACCGGGATGACGCACAGGACACTTAATGAACTTTGCCCATTTTGAACCAGTTTTGTATCCACTTCTGTCTGTTTCTCTCTCTCTAGGCTGTGCTGATATGTACGAACCAATATTCTGTTACTGCGTTGCCTATTTCTTGCCTAAAATGTTTTCATAAGCATATTCTACCTTATTGTTTAATTATCTAATTGTTCAATTCATTTTCATATGTGTTCATTTCAACTGTCCCTCATATTTAAAACAGTTTTGACTCCACATAATTCCTCATATCCACTTAGGACGCATTCACACTGGCACTATTTGGTCCACTTTAAATTAACCCTGGTCCACTTCCACTGATAGTTTGGTTTGTTTGGAGTGGTGTGAACACTCATTCAAACTCTGGTGCGGACCAAACGAGCAAACCCTGGTCTGCTTGAAAACTGGGAGTCTCTGTTCACTTGCAAGTGAACCCTGGTGCGGTTCGTTTCAGTTGGAATTGAAAATGGACTATCTAGGGAACCAAAGAGCAGAAGTGACGTAGAGCACAGTGCATTTTGGTGTTTTTGTGTTGACCAAGCCAGCTGAATGGGATGGACTTCCGTTTCTGGTCCTGGCAAATCGATGAGCTGGGTTTTCCTCTTCCTCATGCTTTTTCTCTTCTTGGTCAGTGGTCGTTTTGGGCAATACTGCCCCCAAACGAGCAGCTGTTGTAACTGCGTGACGTTGTCCAGGTGGTTTGGTCCACTTTAAAAAGTGCAGTGTGAAAGTGAACCGAACCAAATGAAGGTGTGACATTTTTCGGCATTCCCAGCCCAATCTAACCGAGTCCCCTGGACTATCCTGGTGTGAATGTGCCCTTAGACATATGCAGTATCCCTTTTTCCTTGTCCCCAGAATTTTCAACGAAGCAGGACACAGGTCACTCCAATACAAAGCTCCATTTTCTTCTTTTCTTGAGATCTGTTACCTCTTTCCGCTGCTTCAGGACTTCTTTATATTCACATCTCCAAACTTTTTCATGTTTTTAAAATGTCGTACTGAAAACTGTTATGTAATTATTCCAGGTCACGGTATACAATTCTAATTTTCTTGTGCAACAGCTGAGGGCAGAGCAAGACGTCTGTATCTGTGCATTTGCAGTGTTTGTTATGTAATGCAGTTTTGTCTGTATGTTTTTGTTTTGTATTTGTGTCCCTGAAAATGAGATGCTACATCTCCAGGGGCCATCCTTTCAATAAATTCAAATTCAAACTATAATACAAGATTCTTTGTAACCAGGTGGCCACAATATGGTTTTTCAGACAAGCGACACACATTACATCAACTACCAGTAGGAGCATTTATTAGTCCGGTGCAGCACAGCGCATTTTGGTAGTTGCAGGTTTTCTACCTCTTTAACTGTTTTCTCTGGTCATGTAGCACCAATGTCAAAAGTATGTGCGTCTTTCTACTGCATAGACAGTCCAGTTTTATGAAAAGACCATCATCCCAGAGGTGACATACTTCTTTAAGAGACTGAGACGGGCAGGTCATTGGTGCAGTGTTCATCTCTTCCTCTTTATTCTCTTCCAGACATGCTCGGTAAATTTAAGGGGTGTTCTACTTTGTTATCTTGTATCTGTTAGTTATAATCTTGATTGCTGATAGCTGGTTGAGGCCACCAGTGGGTTTAAATCCAACACTTTCACCAGCAAACCATGACACAGGCCTCTATGTGACTGACGGGGGGACTGCAGCTATGTCTCACTCTAATGACCTTTATGTCTGGTGAAGCTCCTGTGTGCAAAGGTCATTATTAGGTGACCCGCTACTTCACAAACAGAATGAGAATAGGGGTATTCCCCAAAATGTCAAGCATCTATTTCAAAGCATTCCTTCCAGCAGTTCATCCAGTTACGACAACTTCAAACAATCTTCCCTGACAACTGAAAACAACAGTTATTACACAGATTGTTGCACATTATGTTCGCGTGCAGCTGTGATTGAGTTGTTTACACCTTTTGTTGATGTGACCTGTAATACTGCTATACTCTGACAGGTCAAACAAATCCTGTTGCTTCATCTAAACAGCACATTCCATGCAATACCTGTCCAAAACCCCTCCCTTCTTCCTATATCCTTATAAGGACACTTGATCCGTCCACCAAAAGTCTCACCCTGTTCCTGCTCTTCCTGCACAGTCCCTGGGTTTTTCCTCTTGGAACTCCTCCGGCAGGATGTGCATCAGCATTTATTGTTTGATTAAAAAAGGTGAGGAGTCATTGAAGCCTTTATTCATTGTTCACATCCTGACAACGATAGCAGCAGCTATATTTCAGGGAAAGCCAAGATGGTGCAATTTAATCTACATACAAAGGGCAGCACTCATTATATTACACTGCTGACTCACCTGTACAGACACAGATAAACATGCATACATGCACACGCACAAATGCACACTTACCCCCGGGGCGTTCATGCTTGCGATCGGTGTGCAGCAACATAGCGATGGGCATTCCAACATTTTTAGAGCGGCCAGCAACCAGCACATTCTTCCCCACCGTCTCAATACCTACACAAACACATTTTTCAGGGGGAAATATTCACAGTTAATTATGCTTGATTGACTGGGCTGCCCAGGTGAGATAAAAGGGCAACTTCACAAGGAGCATAATTGTTCCATTAAAAAAAATGAAAATTAACACATATAATCACACAAAGCCCGGGGCTGTATAACACCTTTGACTGATGACACAGGCATGTGGAGGGAAGTCGTTCTGACGGCTGCACCACAGCCTGGCACCACAATGTCGTGCCTGTGACATTTACTACATGTATTGTCTGCCAACACCAAAGTCTTAAAGGTGATTAACAGTGGGAGGAATGGTATGCACATTAAATAGACTGACATTTTAGTTTGCCGATGGAGTTTGCATTAAATAAATGAATGTTGTCCAGAGTCTATAACAAATGCAAGTATCTTATGAAGGAGATATACGAGAGGTACAGATCATGCATATTTTTGAAGTAAGATAGAAAAAATGGTTGAGATATATGAAAGATGATGTTGCCAATGATCTTTGATTATATGGCATCTGAAGTATTTTCTTTATTATTCAGATAAATTAACTATGTGTCAAATATTTGGGTACACACACATTCATGGGTGCGACCATGTATGATGAGGCCTGTGGGTATCATGTGTGTTGATATCTGTGTGCACCTACAGTATACCTAGTTGTTATATGATGTATCCTCCAACTTAAATTTAAATGTATGGGTTTACTGGGGCTTCGGTAGCTTAGTGGACAGACATTATCATTATACTATTGTCACGTATTCCCTGATACTGCTAATGCTTTTGTTTGTTGTTTGGTTTGTGTATTTTCTTTTTTCCCTTTTACCTAATCTTTTTCAGTCTCTACATATGTTAAATAATCCTCAAAAATGCAAATAAAAAAATGTAATTTTATCAATTCAGGTCTTCTGGTCTTTATGTTTTGCATGAATTCTCTATGTTCTTTCCATAGTTAGTGCATTATCTACAGTGGATGTCAGGTGGCATGCCTTCAGTTTGGGGAAGCAGGCAGAAGTATTAACACAGAAGCTGAGCAATGTACTGCTGTGAAGGGCTCACCAATAAAACGTATTTTAGCCACCTAAAAAATCCCACTTGAGAAAACCACTACCAGTTAAAGTGTACGCTAGATTTAAAGTATTTTTACTGCTTCACCGTACTGTCAGACAGCGATTGTAGCTGTTATATCGCTCTCTTCAAGGCCAGACTCCAGTGAGAAAAACAGTACTTTAAACAGGGCTGCCTCCTGAAAGTTGGAGACTGAAATCATCAGTCAGAGACCCCTCAGTCGACTGAGATTTCAAGTCGAGCAGTCGCTTCTCACTTTCAATACAGGCAGCTGCAGCCACCAAGACAGCATCCATGGAGGAAAAGAAGCTTTGCCTTGTTGGGCTCCAAGATAGCATTATCTTCTGCGCTCTGCTTAGAAGTGGCAAATTTACAGCTCAAGAAACTTAATACGATACAGTCTGCTGTGGCTTTTGTTTGACATCCAGTGTTGGCTTAAAATGTTTTCCGATCTGCTGTTAGTGTAGTAAGCTTCTTTACTATATTACGTGAATGTCACTGTTAAACTGAATGTTGCACTGAACCATGTGCAGAAAGGAACAAACAGTCAAATATTCGTATTGAACAGCAAATCTGATTTAACAGACAAAATTCTGATTTGGGTACAGCCCCTAGTTTAGCGTGGCTGAGCTCAGGAGATGCTCGTCTACTGCTGCTAAGATCTGTTTTTGTGATTTTTGGGACTCTGACATACCAAAACACAGTCTAACTGATTAAAGCAGCGGTAGAACAGCAGCTCCTGTGTTCAGTGAGCTAAAATTACTGTTTGTGTGATGGAGTTTGGTGGCTTTGACGACAGCATAGATGGACAACTGAAGCCCTTAACAGCTTCCTGTTGGAAAGGGCTGTCTGTGGTGATGTAAAGTGGTGAAAATATTCTCTATACAGCATACATCTTAAACTGTTTTTTGGGTGAAGTGTTTCTTAGGTGGCTAAAATACATTTTGCTGCTGCCCCTTTCCACAGCAGTACATTACTTAGCTTCTGTGTCAGCAATCCTACCTGCTACCACAAACTCCACTATCTGAACAATCCATTTAAGATTACTTGGATTTCTGATTTTTAAATTGATAGAGCATGTTCACTGGGGAAGCTGAGATACTGTCGACACACAAATGATAAATAAAACCATCAAGAACTGACTAAAGAAAAAATAAATGAATAAAATCCATATTTTAATTGCAAGTTTCATATCTCAGTTACACTATCTCTAGTCTTCCCTGCTCAAAAAGCACAGTAGTGCACCCATGTAGTGCAGAGACTGAAAGAGAGAGAGAGAAAAGCCTTCATCCATCTCCAACACATTCTTAAAAGGGACAACAAGAAGCATCCTAAGCAGCTTCAACACAGTTTGGTATGGGCATCTCAAAAATTCTCTGATAGCTGACAGATTGCTGAAAATGAAAACATTCATCAGGGTCTCTCACTCCTACGTAGAGGGCACTTATTATTAATACTATCGTGATCATCATAAACACTTCAACCTAAAAAGCCTCCAACATTGTCAAGGATGCTCCCACACACTCTAACACACTCTTAAACTCTTCTCTCTGGCTTTCTAAACCTTTGTTGACTGACTGTTTAAAAATATTTTCACCTGAACTGAACTCACTGAACTAAACACATCAGCAGTGGATTTTGATTGAATGTTTAGCTCTGCCTGAACATGTCCAACAGCACCCTCTACCTGCTTTAATAAGTACAGCAACAAAGGAGCTGCCATGACTGATCAGTTTTTCTTGTTTGATATGCCTTTCAAGGTATGGCCACTTCATTCAGAAAGGTTTCCTTCCTATTGCAGTGTGTCTAGTGGTATCAGAAATTTTAATGCTTTTCAAGACGTTTTCAAGATCATTTTTAACCAAATTTAAGACAAATTTCTGGAGGGATTTTGACCATTTTTATCTATTCTTGAGAGATCAAACACTTAAATTCAGCACCAAATCTGTGTTACAAATGATATCAACCCAAAAATTGCTGCAACATGTTATAAGACATAATAGAGCATGGGAATGGCCATCTTATACTTCCATCATAACGTTCTTTGCCCCCATACACTTACAATTGAAACACAATATCTAATACATATTTATGAGTAGAAAAACATGGCACACAATACTGAGCTGCATCTCAAATTAATCTTCAGGTTCCCAGCTTTCAGATTATGTACACCACTTCTATGTGGCATTTACTGTTACTCTGCTATCTCCCTCTAAAGACCCCCTGACCCTCCTAAAAAAGACAAAAAATGGTCTATGTGGTGTCAGAGGAGCTGCAGACACCCTGTATTGGACATTTTGAACAATATATTGTGTAACACAGTACTATACAAGACTCTGAGACTAGTTTGTGACAAAGAGCAGCTACACTGTATTTTCAAACTAATTTACATGTGACACTTCACCTTCAGACCAAATTCTTAACTGCCAGAATATCTACATTCTTACTTGGTCAAGAGGATGACTGAGTGGTCCAGTGCCTTTAGATTTGAAGTGCGGGTGAGAAAATGATTGTTAGGCACCATCTAGTGGGTCACTAATGAAAAGACAGTGGCACATACTTGAAGCTTCCTTTTGTCTTGTGAGTTGACTTTAACAATGTTGTGACTGAAGAGCAAACGTGCTGAGGTTTGATGCGTTGAATAAACACAGTATGAATTGCTGAGCCAAATTAAATGTAACAAGGCTGACAATGCAGCTCCTACTTCTGGTGGAAGGTAATTTACTGTAAATGTGCTTCTATTAAGCATTAAAACTTTTGCGGTTTACCTGCTCTTTTGATGATCTCCCAAACAGCTGCAGGCGTGGCAGGCACCATGGATCTCTGGTCCAGACACAGCTTACCGATGTTCACAATGTGGAAGCCATCCACATCCTTCTCTGGAGCGATGGCGTTACATACTGCTCGCTCATTGATATGCTCTAAAGAGGAGGGGGAGTAGGACAGATACTCAGTGATATAATGTATAATAAAGTAAAAATAATAGGTAAGAGTCCAAGACACCAAACTTTTATTATGATGGAAAACTAAAGGCCATCATGCTCCAGTTTTCAAACAGCTCCCACAAATATTTTTTCCCACATTAGGAAAGAACTATACAGATGTGGTGACTGCAAACTGAACTGTACAGACAAGCTCATTTGTTTGATGTCAATGAGGAAAACTCATGTGCAACTGTGGCGCCTGTGTTTACCAGGAAGTGGCAGCTGCACCAACAGGCCGCTGACCCTCCAGTCACGGTTCATCTTGTCAATCAGCTCCAGCAACTCTTCCTGGGAGACCGAGCTAGGCCGCACCACTGTGTCACTGGAGATACCTAGAGAGAGAGCACACACACACATTACACACACTCCATGTTCAAAATGTTGTCGTGCACATGTTAGTTACATTACATTGATTGTGTTTATGAGAAACATGTTAATCCATGTGTATGTACAGTATGTGTCCATGCATGCCTAGAAATGTTAAGCGCATTAGGGAGATCAGTGATGTGTTTGTCGATCCGCATGATACATGTTACGCATACAGTGTTCAGGAATGCATGCAGTGCTCGTACCCAGGATGCTGGCTGCCCGGGTCTTGTTCTTAACATAGGTGCGACTGGCTGGGTCGTCCCCCACTAAGACAACTCCTAGGTGGGGTCTCATGTTGCCCTGAGCTACCAACTCTTCAACATCACGCTGGATTTCTCTGTGGAGCTGACGAGCCAACTCGGTCCCCGAAATCACCACAGCGGCATGTCTGGAGAGGTAAAACATAACTTGACAGAAATAAATGCACATATACAACACACACCACATCACAGGTTGCAAAACAGACATTAAACTAAAAAGACATTGAATATATTATTCCAAATACAGCTGAGGCAATCAGTTGATTAATCAGATGAAGCTGATTGACTGATTAAGAAAAAATGTCCATAATTAAAGGGTTTTCAGCTTATCAGATGGTAATATTTATTTGTTTTCTTAGCCTTCTGTGATAGTTGATGAAATATCTTCAAGTTTTGGACTGTTGGTCAGACAAAAAAAAAACAAAAAAATAAAAATTGAAGAGTCAATGATGTTAATTTTTTCTCGTATTTTATAGCCTAGACCAAAAATAAATCGATAAAGTAAAAAAAAAAAAAAATCTCAAAAACTATCAGATGAATTTCCATGACACTGGGTTAAGATAGTAAATGTCCTCAAATTATTAATCCAACTTAAATTGACAATCCTCTGACTATTTGTCTCACACCAGCACAAGGTTGATAGATTTAGACTGACATTTTTCAAGACATGCATGTTCTCCACAGAGGGAACTGTTCTCACTTATGTGATCCATAAATGTTTCATCTAGTGCCACCATCAGGTCTAAATTTCAATTTGCCTAATACTTTGGTTTATGACTAAAAATGAGAGCCTAATCACATTTGTGTCTGCTGTACTTTGTACTCATTTAAGATACTGTTAATGTGCAGTTTTTAACTAAGGGACTGTTTGTTACTTATGAGGGGTAGGGGGGTGCAAAACAGGGAAAGCATGTCAGATTTCTTTTAAGCACTAAGGAGGGACCTATTTTTTATTTAAAAGTAAAATGTTTCACAATATATCTTTACAAATGAAGCACTGTGACCCACAAGTCATATTCCTGATGAAAGAGAACATGCTTTTTTGGTACAGAACCAAGCAAAAATCATATTATCATCATTTTTAGAATTTTTTTGTGAAGATAAAATGCAAAAAGTACCATTCCCATTAAAATCACAATAACGCAATCATAATATCTGTCTAAATAATCACAATATGATTTTTTTTGAATGTCATGCAGCCCGAAGACATACAACTTCAAATTGTTGTATTTTGTATAAATGCCCTCTGTTAAAAAAATGCAAAAATTACACCATTTATCATAGCCATAAACAGTGAAAACAGAAAATTTCATTTCATTTTTTTTTTTCAAACGGTCTTTGAGCACATAATTTGCAACAAACGCTTCCTTCAGGAAAAATAACTAAATCTTGTGATATTTCATCAAAATACCTTTATTCTACATCTCATGTAAAATTTCACAAAGAAAAAAAACCCATCTGCACTAACCAGATCCTGGTTACGTTCAGGATTTTATTTTCAGCATTTAACTTTGAAACATCAAGTGGCCGCCATGCCAAGTTACTGATATAAGTTTGGCTGCTGCTGCCACTGTTGTGAATGTTATGGTTTATTTGTATATTATATGCACATGTTGCTAATGCTGGCTGTTTGCAAAATTCGTTTGTGTGTTGGCTTAATAAATTTTGTTGGTTTTGTGTGATAGGACGAGAGGCTGTCATGCACCCATATTCTGCTGAAGTGCACACACAGCTTTTGTAGCCTAATTATACAATTTGTAAAGAATCTGGATTTGGCATTGAGAAATCGGCATTTGTTTTGGTAATAACTTTAACTCCCTCTGTGCTGTTTGCTCGATGCATTGGCTCCACTGCCTAAATTAAGTGTAATTTTAAAAAAAAACAAAAAAAACAAAAAGCAGTTATTTATGGTGGAGAGGGGTCATGAATTTACCCCCGTCACTCAGGGGGGTTCAAGTAATTTTTTTTTTTTTTTTTTTTTAAAAAGACGTCAAGTCGAGCCACCCTCTCCTCCCCCTGATAAATTAAGTACAGTCCCTAAGCTTAAACAGCAGCACCTCAGAGGTGTTACACCTGCTGGTAGAAGCAAAATGACCGTGTTTTGTTGGTGTTTTTGAATCAAAGTCGAAGCCCGTGTGCCACATGTGATTTATATGAAGTGAAAACATGTTAAAATGGCACCAATGCACCTCAGGATGCAGCAGCAACCATCAGTGTGTGAATGCAGTGTTATTAGACATTAAGCTAACTACCACCGAGCTGTGTAATGCCGGCACGTTTGCTGTCAGCATTGTGTGTTTAATCACTCTTCTAATTGCCCCCTCAGCTCAAGGTATGTCCGTTAAACCTGCCCTCTCTACCGTGAACGGTGAAAGCTGCTGTCAATCACCGTCCTCTGACACGTGACGGTACACACGCCCTCACCGGTGCTGAAGCGGAGCTCATCTCATCCCTCCCGCCGCAAAGTAACACCGCACATTAAAAGGCAGAAACAACCGGAAGCTGTTTACCTGCTCGCAGACTGGTGAAGGTGTCTCCTCTGACTGTCGCATTTTCTGTGCACCCGCAGTTTGGCCCGGCAGCAGTGATGGTGTAACGTTAGCGGGCTACAAATCCTGAAGGAGGAGCGTAGCGGTGAAACAGAGGCCGCCATGTTTGTGTGTGTGTCGTAGGACGCTCGTACGTTGTGCGTGTGCGGTGCGCGTGCGACAGGGAGACAGGGGGCAGGGCGGCATGCAGACATGACATGACAATACAGCTGATGAGTGATAGGCTGTAGTCACAACACACTGCGCATACTGCACATGCTGAACACACTGCACGCACTGAACACACTGTACATAGTAAACACAATAACAATAATAAAATCTATTTGATATGTCACCTTTCACAGAGATTAAATTCACAAAATACAATCAAGAAATCAAGAAATTAAACAGGCAATCAATAAAAACAAATGCAATATAACAATAGAAACAAGGCAATAAAAAAGAAACACACCAGGGGACAAGCACTCGACAATTTAGGTTGGGACAAAGGCAGTGAGTTGGGTCTTCAGTTGTTGGAGGAGAGTTGCATAGTGTTGGAGCTACTACCTCAAGGCCATGATCACCTTTTGTTTTGAGTCTGGAGCAAGGGACAGCCAGTACCTGTTCTGAAGACCTAAAGGACCTGCCGACCATATAGATGGCGGAGACCACTGATGTATTCAGGTGCCTGACTGTGGAGCGCTCTATAGGTGAGAACAAGTATCTTAAAGTGAATCCTGAACCTGATGGGAAGCCAGTGTAAAGAAACTAAAATGACGGTGATGGGGGCTGACCTGTTGGACCTGGTTAAAAGCCTAGCAGCAGCATTCTGGATTATTTGTAAGCAGATTCAGAGAGGATTTGTTTAGACAAGTAAAAAGAGAATTACAGGGCACAACAGCATGGATAGTCATCTCTAGCTCAGGTCGAGACACCACAGACCTGAGCTTTGAGATATTTCTTAGCTGAATACAACACCAGCATTGCTAAAATTTGACTGTATTGCTGAGGAAAGGGACCCAATACTCTGGGCAATCTTTGAAGCGATACTATCTGAAGCAAATATCAGAACCTCCATCTTGTCTGTGTTTAATTGCAAGTAATTGTTTGACATCCGGTCCTCAATGGCAGTCAGGTTACAGATATGTATACAGATATGATTTTAGCATTTTAGCATGTGCAGGATGATGGTGCATAAACCAATACACTGCTGGGAGAAATAAATTGGTTACATATAACAAAGTAAAGTCACATATGACTAGATAATCTAACTAAATAATGTTTTGAGGAAGGAGGTCCCTGGGGTTTTTTGCCCCCTTCCTAAGGAGGGCTTCTTGCCCCAAGGGTCTAACTTTACATTTTTATTCTAAAGGAGAATTTTTTTTTTTTTTTTTTCAAAATAAATTGAATGACTCTCCCCACAAATCCCCCATCATCATATATATAATTAATAGATTGATTGATTTTTATGTGTGTTATGCACACTTACAGAACATGTGCCCAACCTTCATTGGTTTACAAGACACCAGTAAGGCAAGGCAAGGCAATTTTATTAATATAGCACCATTCATACACAAGGCAATTCAATGTGCTTTACAAGAGAAATACATTAAAATAAAACATTAAAGGAACAATAAAATTGTGTTTGAGATCATTAAAAATAAAAGCTAAAAGCAAGACAATAAATAGTTAAAAACAGTGCAGAAAATGCATTTAAAAGGCAAATATAAAGCAAAAGCAACAGCAGACAAATATAAAAACAATGGCTACAGATTATCCTAACAACAAGTTACATATCTAGTTCACTGGTAAGCTGCAGTAAATAGTAATGTTTTAAGCCCTGATTTAAATGAGCTGACAGTTTCAGCTGACCTCAGATATTCTGGAAGTTTGATCCACAGGAGGGGAGCATAGAAACTAAAGGCTGCTTCACCTTGTTTGGTTTTGATCCTGGGAACACTGAGTAAACCTGTTCCAGATGATCAGAGGGGTCTGGATGCTTCATAACGTACAAGTATATCAGAGATGTATTTAGGCCCGAGACCATTTAGTGCTTTATAGACAAATAACAAGATTTTAAAGTCTATCCTTTGACACACAGGAAGCCAGTGCAGTGACTTAAGCACTGGTGTAATATGCTCCACTCTCTTGGTGTTGGTGAGGACTCTGGCAGCAGCGTTCTGGACGAGCTGCAGTTGTCTGATTGATTTTTTACTCAGGCCTGTGAAGACACCGTTACAATAGTCCAGCCTGCTGAAAATGAAAGCATGAACAAGTTTTTCTGTATCATTTAGACAGAAATTCTTTTATTCTTGCTATGTTTTTAAGGTGGTAGTAGGCTGATTTAGTAATTGTCTTAATGTGACTATTGAAATTTAGGTCTGAGTCCAGAACTACACCAAGATTTCTGGATTGATTAGTAGGTTTTAGAATCAAAGCATCAAGGTGAGCACTGACTATTGATCTTTGTTCTTTGGGGCCAAAAACAACTATCTCAGTTTTGTTTGTGTTTAGTTGTAGAAAATTCTGGCACATCCACGTATAGATTTCATCAATGCACTTATTTAGAAGATGTAGGGGACTGTAGTCATCAGGTGACACTGTTACGTAAAGTTGTGTGTCATCTGCAAAAGTATGGTAGGAGATGTTATGATATTCCATAATCTGAGCAAGAGGGAGCATATAGATGTTGAACAGAAGAGGCCCAAGAATGGACCCTTGAGGAACTCCAAATGTAATTTTTGTTCGCACAGATTCATAATTGCCAAGTGACACAAAGAAATCCCTTGTAAAGTCTTGTAAATAGGAGTAGAGTAGAGTGACATTGCAATAACAATCATAAGTACATAGTATTTAACTACTCAGTCAAGAAACAGAATACTCAGCCTTCTATCCCAGGCCTGGCAAAGAAATCCAGCCACAAGAAAAGTTCCCTTTCTGAGACAAAACTCAAATTTTTCATGATCATTCAACCAAAAGAAATCCACACAGATAGAGGTCATCTCACTGAAAAGTTAATTCCTCATGTCTTCATATACAGGACAGTGAAACAGGAAGTGAACCTCATTCTCACCTAAATTACTCAGCAAACTAACTGTGTCCTCCTCTGTGGTGGTGTTAAACCGTCCAGTCTTTGAGGCTGATGATGACGTTCCTGAGCGCAACTGTGCACACAAGGATCTTTGTCTTTTGTTTAGATTATACTTCACATTAGGTTCAACACTGTAGCTGTTCTTTATGAGACTTTTATGCTTTTTTATACATAACTTAATATAAAAACATAGATCACTACTTTTCAGTGACAAAAACTTAGCTCAGTTTACCCTCAAGTGGTTCTGGTGGAATAAATCTCAAGAATGCAAATAATCCAGATGAAATGTCACACTTCACTGTAGCATAGTAATTAAATACATGTGCTGGGAATAGATCTAGTGCCATATACTGGTTATGAGAGGAATTAAGGGGGTGGGGGCCAGTGGTGTAGGGTACTCACGATGGGCCCCAGTGCAAGTTAGTTACGAGTTAAAAGGCGGACATGTACACACCACTGGTAACTGTTTATAAGAAAAGACAAATGAATCTAATTAGGGAGCTTTGCTAGTTTTTCCTCCTGTGAGTTTCTCTCTTGTCCTTTCTTACTGTCACTTTTCTGTTTAGAAGGTATGACTGCTCACTGGACTTGTAGACGTGCTCAGCTTATCAGTCCTGATAGATTTTGTGCCTCAAGTAGTTACCATATGGTATCGTCTTGTCACATGATCAAATAGAGACTTGACCTTAGGCATCATCAACACACGTTACCCAACAATCATCATTGCATACTTGTATATAACAACAATATCAAATAAGATAAGAAATTACTCATTTAACTGAATCATTTTTAAAAAATATATAGTTTATTCAAAGGTATAGTTCTAAGGTGGCGATCTGAATCATTTGCAAGGCCCCCCACCCCACGGGCCCCAATGCAACCACACTGCCTGAACTGTCTATATTCACAACCCTGGTGGGGGCATCTTACTCTGGTTGGGCATCTCCCCCATCTTACCCTATATTTGGATACATTTACTCACAGTTAAGGTGAAAAAGAATTAGATTAATTAAGTGAATAAAAAAACAGACCTTTATCCTTACATATAATTCATAAAAAGTCACATATAAAGACTTACTGTGTCCGTCTGCTCAGCTGATGAATATATATTTCTGTGTGTGAAAGAAAGGAAGGTAACTCAGTGGAAACAGGTTTTCTGGATGGAGCATCCAAACATGGATACCATCGAATGGACACGGGTTACAATTATTCACAGCGTTATTGTACAAAAAACTGTGAAAATTAAAGTTTAAATTTTTTGAGGAATATGCATATTTGTCTTCTTGCTGAGAGTTAAACAAGGAGATCCATACCGCATTAACACAGGGAAATTAAAGGGAGAGCTAACCTGGCTGTGTCTAAAAGTAACAAATCCATGTAACAGCATCTCTAAAGGTCACTAATTAAGCTCAGGAAGTCTCTGGGACTGGCCAAAAAATAGTGCGGCACGTAGGCTAACTCGTAAAACCACTAATTGTAATTTTGACACTTTTTTGGGCACTTTAAACAATCAAGAAACTATGTGTTAATTAAGTACATATATACTGTGGGCCATATGTACACATATAACAAACTTAAAGGACACATTTTCCTATGATCCTTTTCTGATAACATTCTATGATTGCAGTGGAGGATATGTATGCACAATAGTATACATTATGTCAGTTGTAGTATGTTTAAACAGTTTTGGGGAGTAACTAGTTATATGTAATGGAGTTGCAGAATTAAATTACAAAATAAATGTAATTGTAATCTGTTAGTTCTGTCATGATTAAGGGAATGTGAAGCAACAACCTGCTCTGTGAATGGGTACCAAGATTATGTTAGGTCAGAGTTAAAGGGAAGAAATATAGGGTGGAAACATCTGCATCAAATCTTCACAACTGAAAAATACCAATGGTGAAATGATAAAAAATGAAAGGCAGGCAGTGTCACAGCTACCTCCTATTTCGCCACTAGATGGCAGCAAATATTTGGTGCATTAACTGAGCTGTGTAGGGTTCATTTTAAATGCTTGGAATTTCAGAAAGAGGAAAAGAAGCATCAGGTGTCCCCTCAGAATGTAATGTAC